GCGGTGGTTCTGGTTAACGTAATGAGTCTATTTTCGTTTCAATTGGAGGAAAACTTTTACGTTCCAGCTTGCCGCGGCTTTTCTATTAATACGCATGATGTTTACGATTATTTGGTTAAATATTTGATATTAAAAATTTTGTTCAGTAAAGTAAAAGTAACAGCCTGTACATGTCCCACTGCTGGGCAAAGGCCTCCTTTATACAGAGAGTATCAGGGCATAGTCCACCACGCGGCCCCACTGCGAATTGGCGAACTTCACGTATCTCCGAAATATTTCTTTTTAATATTTTGAAAATATCCGGTTTCCACACGATATTTTCCTTCACCGCAGAGTAAGTGATAAGTCAGTACTTAAAATTAACAATTTCATTAGTTCCAGCACCGGGGATCGAAGTCGGGTTGCTCGAGCGCACGGACTATCTCTCTACACGATATAAGAATTTTCTATACTACTAATATTCTATGCTACTATTTTATTTATTTATCCTTTAGTAAAACTTTAGAATAAAGATTAGAAAAGTGAGACTCGCTTTTCATTAGAAAACATATTTTCTATTAACATAACAAACCTAAATACCATATCAAAAATAATATAACATAGGAAATATACACTTTACAATAAACACTTTTGTATTTTTTATTTAATTATTTAACAACAAAACCTGTTGTTATAACAACAATATTGTTTAACCATTTACTTTTTTTACAACTAAGCAAATCATTGTGATACCTGGAGTCTGTCGAAATGCAGACAGACAGACAGACAGACAGCGGAGTCTTAGTAATAGCGTCCCGTTTTGCCCTTTGGGTACGGAACCCTAAAAGTGGGTACACACATAAGTACACATGAGACTTATAAAAACGCCTAATGAAGCTCGGGTATTGCTGTGTCATCTCAAGGTCGGTGTGAAATAACAGACCTTGAGATGACACAGCATCTGTTATGCAAAGATTTAAAAAAAAAATCTGTTGTTATCATACTGAGAACAATTCAAACGATACTATAGATAAGTTCAATGTTTTAAAGGTGACTATTTGTACCCGAATTGATCATGGGACAAACCATAAACGCCGAAAAGGGTTCGAAACGTCGGTAATCACTACATAGTATAAAACAAAGTCATCCTGCTGTCTGTCTGTCCCTATGTATGCTTAGATCTTTAAAAGTACACAACGGTTATTGATGCGTTTTTTTACTAGATAGAGTGATTCAAGAGGAAGGTTTATATGTATAATACATTGCACCCCTGCGAAGCCGGGGCGGATCGCTAGTTTAAAAATAAACGTGATAAATCCGTGTAAACATAGTTCTTTTTCTAATATGCAAACGCGGACAAGACATTATCAGTTTAATGTTTATATAATTATAAGCCAATATCACGTTAATACACAAAACACAGACCTCCCAATGGACGGGCTACGTGGTGTATATTTAATAGCAACGCTAACTGAAAATACAGGGTGGCTTTTCTAAAGTTGCCCAAATTCACACAGGAGGTTCAGACTGGGTACTATAATCGTTTATTGAAATAAAAACAATTCTTTTTGTTAAAAAAAAAATTGCCATTCTATTCCCTAAAAAACAACTTGTTGACAATACGGTAGTCATTCATAAATGCGTCATATACTTTTAAAACGAACTTGTGTGCGTGTAAGTTATGAATGATCGCGCGTAAAATAAACGAGTTGCGTATATGTATATAACAAAGAGAATGTAATCACTACGTTGATATATAACGCACTTTTTGAGATAAGTTAAAAATTAATGTAAACGTAGTGATTACATTCTCTTTGCTAACTATCACGGTTCATGAGATACAGCCCGATGACAGACGGACCGACAGACAGCGGAGTCTTAGTAACAGGGTCCAGTTTCACCCTTTGGGCACGGAACCCTAAAAATGAATTAATTCCGGTGATAACGTTCATACTTGAACCATTCGAAGATTGTAGCGTATTTTATCAAATGTTTACAGTAATGTTTAAGATAATTTTATGCTAAACAGCTTAATTCTAATCTCGATCCCGGAACAAACAACATATTTTTTTTCATTATGATGTATTTCTGTTTATGCCGCTATTACAACAAATTATAAGTGGGGCACCCATACAACAGACGGAACTATTCCTTCGCTGAGCGAAATAAAGCGTGTAGTTCATTACAGATCTTAAAAAATAACTTTTATCACTAATTACTTAAGACACTAACCGGGCGTTTCTGAAACACTGATCATCGTAGCAATTAACTAATCAGCAGTTTGGAAGTCCCTAAACAGACTTCGATCTGGTGTAGGAAGATGCCAGGATAACCTGGTGAAGTGGGGTTTCTCCAACAACAATAAATGTCACTGTGGCGAGGTCAAAACTATGGCCCGTCTGCTGCAATGCCCGTTGTGTCCCTCCTCCTGCACCTACGAAGACCTGCTTGAAGCCAACTCTGCTGCGGTGGATGTGGCCAAATACTGGTCGAACAAGATCTAACTAGCTATTTTGACTCGAAAAGAAGAAGAAGAACTAATCAGCTGTCGATGACCAGTGTTCAGATCAGAAACCGGGCGTAAGTGGTGTCCAATCGGTCCGTATTTAGGATGACGAAAGGCGCCGCGCTTTGCTGGGGGTCGATTATATTGAAGGAAGCACCGGGATGCAGGTGGGGTATGATGGTGACTGGGGTTGTTTTTCAAACGTTTTTTTATTTTCTACTCTTTATTTCTGCTAGCTACGAAAGCGTCTTCTTTAAATTTTGTATACCGTTAATTTATTTAGATCAATCAATCGCACAATAAAACGTATATTAGTAGCAATGTAGTTTCTGTAGTTTTCTATCGAACTGTAAATATTATTTTTTGTTGCCAAATGTTAGCGCCCCATTTGATCCTCCAAGTAGCCATAGGCTTTTTTCAATATTTTAGGACACATTTTTTACACAACGTTCTCCAATCCCAAACTAAGCAACGCTTATACTATGGTTACTAGAAAACTGATAGGCATACTTAAACATACTTTTCTTTTGTAAATAAATACACAATATACATATATAAACACCCAGACACTAGAAAAACACTATGCTCATCACACAATATTTTTCCAGTAGTGGGGATGGAACCAACACCCTCTGGCGCAGAAGGCAGGTACACTAGCGACTACGCCATTCGGGTCGTCTAAAGCCTTCGTAGCCATACGCTGGTCTTAATGATAAAGTTATGTATGCCTGAGCATAGTGATATGGTAAATCTAAATAACTACCTATGCAGACTGTACAACGCAATGGCCGCGACAGATCATTCAAGACACTACCATATCTACTATCGATGATAGGTTCTGTGGCTATCGGGGTTTTAGGGTTCGATTCCGGAGTAGCCTGACGTTCATCATATCCAAAGGCAACAGGTGCGTACACGCCTAAGTAAGCGGAAAAAACACCGCCTACTGTTTTCAGATATCCTGATCCAGATAATTGGACGAACTTATTAAATTATTGTATGGTCATTGATAAGCGTCCGAAGTTTCGAGTAAATCTAACGTTTTAAAGTGGTTTAAGATCACGGTCAAAGATTTCGTTTCACAGAAACAGACGAAGCTAATAAAAGCGTGCTAAAAATAGCCTATGACACTCACAGGATCATAAAATATCTCTATTAAAAAATCGTACTGCGGATAACTATAAATACGAATTTATAAACCTGTGTGTTTGCCCCAACACTATCCGACACGCCTCACAATTTTTGGATTAAATCAATAATAATTGTATTAATGTACGCCGCACCGGTGACTTCGCGACGGTTCCCGCCATAAAATATATCTGTCAACTGTCATTGAACTTTTCTGACTCGTGAAATGGTACGATCCGTCACCTGATACAAATGTTGTCAAGCGAAGATAACCCAGCGTAAACTATATTCAAGAAAACGTTCAATTGCGATTTCATATCATCTTATCTAAACACGAATGATTTTCCGTTTATTTTGTATAGCATCAAACTTTTTTTTATCTACTTTATTACGAGTCAACGATATTTTAAAAAAGTTGATAATTTTTTTTTTATATTTATGGACACATTTTTATAGGTTTAGTCTCAAGCTAAGCAACGCTATGGATACTAAAAAAAAGAAAAGTAACAGCCTATACATGTCCCACTGCTGGGCAAAGACCTCCTCTATATAGGACTAAGCAGCAGTTTCTGCTGTTGCAGAAATGGGCACGCTCACAACGGCCTTGCAGAAGATCGGCGTGAAGTGGACGTTTTATATTTTCGCGTTTCGTCTGGTGAGTGAGGTATGACTTGTCTGGAAAGGGGTTGGGTAGTTAATCCTAAAGACCAATGCGACCTAGATCTTTATTGAAAGTCGGAGATCTCTGTGAGTGAGGTACCCGAAGCCCACTTTTTTAAGGGTGGCAACGCACCAAGTTCCCAACTTGTTTCAGTAGTTCATAGGCGGTGTTCTTTATTTAACATCAGGTGAACCCTTTGTTAAATTTCACATAAAAAAAAAGAAAAAAGGTATTATATATAATACAGATAAAATGGAACACAAAAAACTTAATACTTGATTAACTTGTCTACTTGAATAGATTGTCCGTTGATATGCAACCATAATGGCTGTCATTATTATAAAAAAAAAACAATTATCAAACATGGGTTAATCCTTACTAATATTATAAACGCGAAAGTTTGTATGTATGGATGGATGTTTGTGACTCTTTCACGCAAATACTTCAGAATGGATTCTAATAAACCTTTACAATAATATAGCTTATACATCAGAATAAGACATAGCCTATATTTTATATACATATTTTATGTATTTCTGTCTTTCTGTCTGAATCTTTCGCCTTCAGTCTATTCTACGCAGACGTAGTCGCGGGCAGCAGCTAGTTAATTATACACACAATCTCAGCCCGCCACAGTCAAACGAGCGAGGAATGGGGAATGAACGAACAAAAGAATGGGGGAATGAATGAAACTGCTAGTCTCTCGTCCGCCCCTTTAATTGATCACCACCGCACCCTCGTGCGGAACTCGTCGCTGACGCTGAACCTCTTGATGGTCTCGTAGCCGAGGATTATGGAGAAGGAGAAGCAGGCCGATTGGGCCAGGCGCGCTGAGAGGCCCTTCGCGTAGAGCCCGACCAGGCCCTCCTCGCGCCAAAGCTCGCGGAACACCTGCCTCATGGACCCCACCCCCTCCACCTGTGCCGTTATGAATATCTAATATATCAAATTCTCGTGTCGCGGTGTTTGTAACTGAACTCCTACGAGACGGCTCGACCGATCTTCGTGAAATTTTGTGTGCATATCGGCCAGGGTGGAGAATCGGACAACATATATTTTTGATCCCCCTAAATGTTAAGCGCGGTCCACCCCAAACATTTTTTTCTACCCTACAAATAATTTATATGGCAAAACAACGTTTGCCGGGACAGCTAGTAAATATATAAATAAAGATAAGATTTTAGGACACATTTGTACACAACGTTCTCCGGTCCCAAACGCAAACAACGCAAAGCAACGCTTGTATATTGGTGCTAAGTAACTGAGAAACATATTTAACATAATTTTCTATTGTAAATAAATACATATTATACATATACATACACCCAGACACTGGAAAAACACTATGTTCATCACACAATATTTTTCCAGCAGTGGGATTTTTTTTTATGTGAAAAGCTGCCTCGCGAGCAGATGGTTCACCTTGTTAAGTGAATACCGCCGCCCATTGACGTCTGCTACACCCGAGGGTTTGCAGATGCGTTGACAGCCTTTTTGAACTCCCTCAATCCGTTCAACTGTGGTAGCTTCACGCAACTGTCTTAGTTGTTGCACAAATGGGCAGATCCGCCACTTTATTAAAAGCTGGTGAAGCATTTGTAACCCTACGGGTGTTGCAAATGGTATGGACAGCGGTTATCATATAACATCAGGTGAACTGCCAGCTCGCTTGCCATATTTTAACAAAAAAAAAAATTAATTCTATACCTTAACTCCTCAAACTTTTTAAGCTTTGCAATTGATGGGAACTGAACATTTTTAAGAATGCTGTAACGTGAAAAGTAACTGTGGCCGGGCCACCTGATGAGTGAGGTAGCCGGGGCCCACTTTATTTAAAGGTGGCAACGCATCTACAATCCTACGGGTGTTGCAAATGTCGATGGGCGGCGGTTATCACTTAACATCAGGTGAACCTGCCACGGTTCGTTCACATAAAAAAAAAGTCCCAGCTGTGCTCACCTGTAGCCTAGCGCGCACTATATCCAGTGGGTTGGTGAGTATTGTCGTGGTGAAACCGCCCAGGGTGCCCGCCACGCATTGGACAAACAGGTGCGATATCCAACTTGGGCTTATTTTGAGAAGCTCGTCTGGAATGATAGCAATTTTGCTGTTAAACAAAAACTTTTTTGAAACATTCCCGATTAAGTCTTAACTATTAATTAAGTGTAACCATTTTGTACGCATGAAGGACTTCAAAATTAACAGATGAAATGGTATGGGCTTGTTTACAGCAGATTGGCGGGAATAATAGTAATTTTGCTGTTAATCAAATTTGCCTTTTTTATAACTTTCACAATTAGGTCCGCTGCGATCATCATTTTTGTATTAAAACATGTAGAAAAAGTATGAATATTTTATTTATGAATATTTAAATTACCACATGAAATAATATTTAATAATGCATGACATTTCATATATCATTAGAAATGATCCATATCTAATCACCAAGTTTTTGACCATAACATTTATTACATCATCTTTAAATATATCTATCTATACCTTTAAACAAGCAATTCTTGTATATATATAATCTGAATCTGGGAAACGGCTCCAACGATTTTCATGATATTAGGCATACGGGGGTTTTCGGGGGCGATAAATTGATCTAGTTAGGTTTCATTTTTGATAAAGCCGTTTTAACCGTGTTTTCAATAAAAAACTACTACAATATCAATATTAGAATACAAAGGTATATTGTAGCCACCATCTACAAAGTTATAGTGGCTCAGGTGGGAAATCGGGCGGCCCCGAAACAAGAGAACATCGAGTCTAGATTATTTTTTAATTTTTTTTTCACCTTTTTTTTCAAGGCCCTTCTTTTGTGAGAAAAATAAAACCGAATTTTTAAATTTTTTATAGTGCTAATAACTGCATTTAAGAAACTATTTGTATGTATGCTGAAAAGAGTTGTGGAAAGAAATTGTTAGTATGCTGGACGGAATGCCGAAGACGTGGGTTCGATTCCCACAGCTTCTTTTCGCACTTTTTCTATAAATTTTAATAATTAAAAAAAACCGGTCATCCAGGTACCGAGTATCGATAAAAGAAAGGGTACGAAGGACCATATTTGAAATCAAGCCTTTCGCGGCCACTAAGGGATCTCGGTTAATCTACAGGACGAAAATGTTTTTCTATTTAATGGGAGACGGTTCACCTGCACGGCGGGTGCCGAAACCAATAGCTTGGCCACTGGGCCACGGCGTCGTAGGGCGAGTGGTACCTTGGTATGCGGTGTAGAGCGCCCACCAGAGGGCGGAGTTGGGCACGTAGGCAGCCAGCGAGGCGGCGTAGCCCCGGTAGTAGCCGAGCGGGCCGTGCAGCCTGTAGACACGCAGCGCCACCTCGCGGGCGAGGGCCGCCTTCGACAGCCTCCGATCCAGGTCCAGCCCCAGCGGGTTCAGCTTCTGTACAGTACAATCCGCGATAGCTCAGTGTCCGACCGCCTCCAATTGAATATAATCGAGCAACCCGAGTTCGATCCCCGGTGCCGGCACCGATGAAATTGTCAATTTCAAGTGCCGAATTATCACGTGCTCAGCGGTGAACGGAAAACATCGCGAGGAAACCTGCATGTTTTCGAAATGATAACAAAAAAAGGATATATTTCGAAAATATGAGAAGTCCGCCAGCCCGCGGTGGGGCCGCGTGGTGGACTATGCACTGTAAAGGGTTACAGAGAAGACCTTTGCCCAGCAGTGGTCATTTATAGGCTGTTACTTTACCTTTTTTTACAGTAAAATCCGTCAGAGTCAATAATCAGATATAACCTTTGAGATCATCACAACGTGTAGTTAGATAAAAGCAACACATTTTCTACCGTGTGGTAGGGCCATGCAACAGTGTTCGCTGTTGCACGGATGGGCAGGTCCGTCCGGGTAAGTACCACCACCTCACAGAAGACCGGCCTGAAGTGGAAGTGTTGCACTTCTGCGTTTCGTCTTTTGAGTGAGGTAGCCGGGGCCCACTTAATTTAAAGGCAACGCGGCGCTTATCACTTAACACCAGGTTAAGCCGATTCAGGATAAGCGAAGCAAATTGAGCCGATGACTATTTCTTGTTCTTGATTGCGAATCGACTCGAGTAGCCATATCACATAATTATATTACCTATCTATCAGCCTCGATTCGAGCTGACTCGTGCTCCCCGAGTCGGCCGAGTCACCTCTCTCTACCTACAGGAGATATCGACTCGAGTCAGTAGGCATATCGACTCGAGTCAAAAAAATCCAGCTCGTCACATCACTAGCTAATAATGTCAATCCTAAGCCATTTAGGATTGACATTATTAGTGCTAGTCTCCGCACTCAAGATCACCTTTCAAATTTGAATTTTTATAGACAAACGAACAGCAACGCGGAGACACGAATGATCAAAACTGATGCGCCATTAATGTTGCCATACTCACGGGATTTCTGCCGCCGCCGGGCCTGCCCTTGGCGAGGCCGAGCACCATCAGGTGTTGGCTTAGCACGTCGAAGGGTACTATCACGGTCTGGCCCACGAGCGAGGCGCAACCGCCGCCTATGAACGACTGAAATCAATACACGTATTGTTCGCTTCTGTCTTGCTTTCTTTATTCTTTACTATCTTTTCGCTCGCGTTGAAGCCCTTAAATAAATATCTTTCTATATAATAGCCTATGTCCTTTCTCAGGCTCTAGACTACCTGTGTACCAAAATTCATTTATATCGGTTCAGTAGTTTTGGCATGAAAGCGAGACAGACAGACAGAGTTACTTTCGCATTTATAATATTAGTATGGATTCTTTATTGTACACGGAGTATAAGACAAAACAAAATTACAAAAAACAAATAAAGGCGAGCTTAAACCTAAAAAGAGTTTTCTGTCCTTCGATAGTTCTTTTTTTTTTGTGCAATCTATAGGGCTGACTAGACAAACTACTCGATATTTTGCCTAAACGAAACTGTTTTTATGGATTTATCACGTTCTTTTTAGGGTTCCGCACCCAAAGGGTGAAACGGGATCCTGTTACTAAGACTCCGCTGTCTGTCCGTCTGTCACCAGGCTGTATCACACGAGCCGTGGTAGTTGGACAGTTGAAATTTTCACAGATGACGTATTTCTGTTGCCGCTATGACAACGAATACTAAAATAACAGAATAAAAAAATATTTTAGTGGGGCTCCTACAACAGACGTGATTTTATTTGTCGTTTTTATGGATAATGGTACGGAACCCTTCGTGCGCGAGACCGACTCACACTTGGTCGGTCTTTTTTTTTAATTATCAGTTGAAATACCGAGCCTAGAAATGGACACACGTTAGGTAACCGACACACAATTCAAACGTAATGCAGTTTGATTGTCGTTTCTTTAGGCACGAGGATAAAGGCGAATAACGTGAAACTTATGTTTGTAAAACGTCCTTACAACACAGGATGTTATCCTAAGGCAATTGCAATGTTTAAAAAAAAAAACAAAGAAGGGGCGGGGAGTTTGTTTTGTATAGTGTTTTTATATATTATATAGAGGCTTACCTTCATCTTTGGACTGACATCGTATTTGCCCAGCTCGTGCCTGACGCCTTCATACGTCGAAATGTAGAAGACGCCCGATATTATCTGAAACTGTTAGGGGAAGGTCCCCATTAATAATACTTAAAAATTATCTGACATTGTTAGAGGAAGGTCCCTATTCATAATACTTAAAAATTATCTGACATTGTTAGAGGAAGGTCCCCATTAATGATACTTGAAAATTAACAATTTAATTTGTGCCGGTCACCGAGGATCGAACGCAGGTTGCTCGAGCATATTATATCACTACATAGTATAAAACAAAGTCGTACCGCTGTCTGTCCCTATGTATGCTTAGATCTTTAAAACTACGCAACGGATCTTGATGCGTTTTGTAAGTAAAGTTCATTTGTAAAGGTCACATAGCATATGAATGGGTTGAACGAATTTAAAAGAGACAAAACATACTGTTACAAGGAGAGGCTTGTATTGCGACGCTGTGGCAACGAATGAAAAAGTCTCTGAATGTATGAATCATTCAGTTGTAGTTGTATAGGATGTTACAAATTTTGTTTCTTTTTTACTTAATTAGTTTGTTTGAAAAATATATTTTTTTTTAATTATGGATGTTTTTAACGTTTAATATTTTTTAGTTGTTTAATTTTTTAGCGTTAGACGTGTGTTCATTTATTGTCGCGATGGTAACGACACGCTGTATAATATTTAATTATTAACATTTCCCTATCGATTAAAAATTTTTTTCTAGTTTGAAAAACAAAACATAGTATTCGGAATTTCAGCCCAATAATGTAACACTTTTATTCGAAAAACCTTTTTGAATTAATAAAATTAACAATATTTTATACCAAGATATGACACTAGCACAACGAAATTGAGGCACTCAAAATACACCAATTGGTGTAATTATATCGTTCAATATAAAAATGAATTGCTATTCGTTAGTCTCGCTAAAACTCGAGAACGGCTGGACCAATATGGCTAATTTTGGTTCTGAAATATTTGTGGCAGTCCAGGGAAGGTTTAAACGTTAAGAAATTATGAAAAATTGCATGGAAAATCGAAACAGCAACAATTTTATCTTCCTATACAAACTGTTCCTTCCCGTCAAACATTTTACGCGTGCGTTCCGAATATTCTTTTTCTATATATGTGTTCAGATTCTTAAATTACCTAGAAATAATTTATATTATATCTCCGCGCAGTATGGACATTCGTCATCTATATTATTAAACGTCAATGGAAAAATTACATAATATTCACATTCTAGCTCTTGCAGCGACAGGAAGAATTAACGACACTCACACTAGACAGCCAGAAGCCTCTATATAGGCCGGAGATTCCCTCGTTGTGGTATATCTTGGTGATGGCGTCAGTGACGCCTTTGTAAGCCTCCTTCTTCCGCTGCACTTGGATCTGGGTCTTTATCAGTGTCAGGGGGTAGAGTGCGCAGCGTACTGTCGACGAAGCAGAAGTAAGTAGTATTTAGTATAGAAAAGAAAAATCGGTCAATTGCGAGCTGGACCCGCGCACGACGAGTTCCGTAACATTGTCTATGGAGACGGCAAACAAAATAATGGGAGCCCCGCTTAAAAATTTTTTATTCCGCGAATGCCGAAGACGTGGGTTCGATTCCCACAGCGGCGACAATCTTTTCGCACTTTTTCTACATATTTTAATGTTCAATCTTAAGTGCAAAGATTAGCACTATAAACAATTTAAATTTCTAAAAAAGCAATGGCGACATCTCTCGTTCGAATTATCGTTGTAAAACGATATTCGAAATTGTTTGTATGCTGGAAAGGATATAACAATAGCTGGCGCCAAGCATTGCTTCAAATGCTAAGAAAACAATGTGGAAGAATGCGTTAAGATTTTCGTCGGTGTGGTAATCAGCCGTTTAGCTCAGTGGCTAGAGCGTCAGGCCGCGAATGCCGAAGACGTGGGTTCGATTCCCACAGCGGCGACAATCTTTTCGCACTTTTTCTACATATTTTAATGTTCAATCTTAAGTGCAAAGATTAGCACTATAAACAATTTCAATTTCTAAAAAAGCAATGGCGACAGCTCTCGTTCGAATTATCGTTGTAAAACGATATTCGAAATTGTTTGTATGCTGGAAAGGATATAACAATAGATGGCGCCAAGCATTGCTTCAAATGTTAAGAAAACAATGTGGAAGAATGCGTTAAGATTTTCGTCGGTGTGGTAATCAGCCGTTTAGCTCAGTGGCTAGAGCGTCAGGCCGCGAATGCCGAAGACGTGAGTTCGATTCCCTCAGCGGCGACAATCTTTTCGCACTTTTTCTACATATTTTAATGTTCAATCTTAAGTGCAAAGATTAGCACTATAAACAATTTAAATTTTTTATTCCTTTTTTTTTTTTTAGTATTTGTTGTTATAGCGGCAACAGAAATACGTCATCTGTAAAAATTTCATCTGTCAACTATCACGGTTCATGTGATACAGCCTGGCGATAGACGAACAGACCGACAGACAGGATCTGGAATAGATTCGCCAAGCGATTTGAAGCAATTAAATGCTCAAAAAAAAAAAACAATGTAGATAAAAGACGTTAAGATTTTCGTCGGCGTGGCAACCAGCCGTTTAGCTCAGTGGCTAAAGTGTCAGAATGCCGAAGCGTGGGTTTGATTCCTACAGCGGCGACAATCTTTTAGTACTTTTTTTTACAAATTTTAATGTTTAATCGCAGAGAAGTGCAGAGATTAGCACTATAAAAATTTTAAATTGCTTAATTAACGTGACAACTCATCGTCATCGTCAGTAAATGCTTTCCACGAACTATTTCTAAAACAGGAATACGCAAAAATATATTTGTAGTTATGGATATCATATAAATACTTATTTAGTTATTATCGTCCGGAGTGCCTATAAAATATGTAGAATTCAATATTAGTAATTTAGTAGTTCTGTTTGCCACCGAAGAATTTTAGTGTTGCCAGTAAAAAAATTAAAACTTAAAAGTTTTCAATAACGATTACGGTGCGAATAGTGGACAATTGAATAGGATGTTTGTTTATGTCGTTTCTCTTAAAGATCGTTTGCAAGAACTGCCTTCTAACTATATCGTGGCATTTATTTTGACTAAGGTCAAGACCAGCTTAACCTAGATTTACAGCTAAAGTGGTGTAAACTATGAGGCTATGACATCTATACAGATAAATAAAATTGGATCGTCTGTTTTTAATATTAAAATAACCGCTTTTTTACTAAATGAATATGTGTGTACACGGTATACACGGTACATATACCAAAGTAACACTTTTCACATTTTTTTTCTGTCTGTCTGTATGAAGTCGCGGGAACTTTAACGCTGAAGCGAAAGTATGATCATACTTTCGCGTTTGTTCTGGAGAGTGAGGTAGCCGTGGCCCTCTTTTAATGTTCACAACGCATCAGCAACCCGTCAGGTGTTGTGTGTATGTTGTTATAGTGGCAACAGAAATACATCATCTGTGAAAATTTCATCTGTCTGTCACAGTTCATGACAAGATAGAAGAAAAACAGCCTCGTGACAGACAGAGAGCAGAGTCTTAGTAATAGGGTCCCGTTTCACCCTTTGTGTATGGAACCCCAAAAACATGCCGTTCTAAAGCCCTGATTAGACTAGACTATAGTTATGGTATTGTAATTAAGTTGTCACCTTGCTAGGATGTACAATTCAGTACAAATGCATAATCATACCATAAAAAAATAAAGGACAAACTAAAACATGCATAAAGAAACGATGATTAAAAGAAAAGAATATTAAAATAAATACAGGTAGATTGCCTCGGCAGGAACAAAAACCAGTTCAAGATTAAGGGGGATTAATCGAAAAATTCAGACATAATTCAGTATAGAACAAGCATTTTGTTTTCTTTAATTATGACATGATGCCCTCTAAGAAGCTGCCTGGAGCGATATATCGCATATTGGAATCGCTGATATTTGGTCATACCACAAGTCTCCATTTGAGCCAGACTCTTCTAGAAATTTATAATTTATAAGCGCTTCCTGGCATTCCTTGCAAAGCCACACAAAGAAAAAGCTTTATAACAGTTTTATTTTTGTTTTAGAACAAGGCTAAATCATTGACAGAAAAAAATATATCGCAGAAAGCTTTAAAGGGTACACGCTACTATAATGGAGTATAGTTTAGTAACAACAATAGTTTCATCACAATCACTTTGGTTTTGGAAGTTTTGTGTTATTTATTTTTATTGCTAGTCTCTGCATTAAAGATGAAAAGTAATATATGAATTTTTTGTAGATTTCCATGCCGTGAGGTCATCGACCCATTCTGTTAGTAGTTAAAGCGTCTTTTTTTCAATTACTCGGTTGACGTACCGTTACGCACAGCACCAAAAGTTTTTGTCCCTTTATCTACAATAATTCACATTTTCGGTTTGAGAAATTTCTTTTTTTCTTTTTTTTTATAAAAATATTGCCCTTACTTTAGGATATCATTATCCTGTGTTGTAAGGACGTTTTACAAACATAAATTTCACGCGGACCAACACCCAGATGCAAAACAACTATTTGTGGGTTACACAAATAATTGTCCCGTGTGTGAAATGAACCCACACAAAAAAAATTAAGAAACATTCTTTATGTATTTATAAAGAGCTCTATTCTATTAAGGTCAAATGTATATTATATCACTTACCTGTGAAACTGCTCAATGTGTACAGAGGAAAGAATTTACTTTTATCCATCATACTCCATTCAATTGTTGTTATCAGCTGTGGAGGAGGTGATTCAACCATTGTAGCTGCCATACTCTTCTGCGTACCTCTAACAAGTTCTAAATCTGTGCTAGATGTATTCTGTATGCTGACCAACATCTATGCACTAACCATTTTAAACTATTTCATATATCTTTGGTTGTTCTCTTATTCTCTTTGTACATAATGTATTTAATACATTTAAAATATATTGGAATTATTGCGATGATACTTTATAATATAAATAAATTAATAATTTACAATTTAACGTAAATAAATGGGACTAGACACCTAATTTTTTCTAGATCTCTTGTTAGATTATAATATATTGGTACAATCAATATATGTTTGACATATAATGATTTTTTCCGCTTCTTCCATCATTGTCGTCACTCAAGGTTGTGTCTTACACTGAAAAATAAAAAAGCTATTGAATGGCTTAGTGGTGAAAAGTGGATTTGAGTTTTTTTTTTTAAATACATTTACATGAAATATATGTGCATTTCGTAATAACTTTAAAACTAAGACACAAATTGATTCACTAAGATTTTGGGACAAGATACCTCTTGGGTAGAAGAACTTCAGATTAAACAAGATGAATTTTATTAAATTTTAGAAATTAATGCAAATTCTATTGTGTTAATTAATGTCCTCACCAATTGTAACAAAGATTCATAGAATTCGAAATAGAATAGATTTTCAAAACTTCAAGTAAAATGTATTGCATGAAATATAAAATACAAACAATGATACAAAATATTTGAAAATTCAGAAGAGTAATTTATAATTAAATAGAATAAAATTAATAATAAAATAGATATACATAAACATATCAGGACGACCCCCCCACTAGATGGAGTGACGACCTGTGCAAATGTGCGGGAAGTCGATGGATGCAGGTGGCTCAGGATCGTACTTCGTGGCAGTCTGTGGGGGAGGCCTATGTTCAGCAGTGGACTCAAACAGGCTGAAATGATGATGATGATGATATCATGACTGTTAACTTCCGCTCCAAACCATGTAATAGTCATTGAGAATATTATTTTTCACTTTAGAAACTGTCTTAAAGCTAGTATATTTGAAACAACTAAATGCCACATTTTTAACTAGGTATGTGAATATGTCACTTTGTGTATAGTCAGCAGCAGTTGTGTTAATGTGAAATAAGTGATTTTTGGAAGAAATTTAACAACCAGAAAACTAAGTTTGATTAGAATTAGTGACCCAATAACTTACATACCCAGCCACCTTTGGACATTTGTTAAGGGCTTTGCAGATTTTTTGTCAGCTGGATAATAAGGTAATACGAAGAGTAACATTTTGGCATATATAATTGTATATCTTATCTTATCAATTACATTAGACAAAGATTATAACATCAACTAGTCGTGTAAAATAAACTCGTCTAAAAAGCAAAGCAAAGGAAAAAGGACAATTAAAAAACAAATCTCTTTTCAGATTATGATTGATTTAAAGTATCTGTAGTCTGTAGTAGCTACAGAGTGACTTTACAGTTAATTAAATAAAAGGCGTACAATTAGAATACAATAAATATACTTGCGTAAGCATTTAATTTCCTTACCTATGGCAACAGTCAAAATCCATTGTTGAAAACCACACATCAATATGATATAACAAAGATTTGAAAACAATCACAGCTTGGTAAAATGTTTTATGTAATAATTTACACAGTACGCAATTCACAAGTCAAGTTTACACGGCGGAAAAATAATTCGTGCCCTTCGGCGATGTCAGTCAGCTGATTGGTCTTCTTCTTCCATCTTTTAACAGATGTTTGTTTTCTACCACAGATTACAAAAGGTACTTAAACACAGATAATGTATACATAAGATTTAATATAATTTTGTTTTGCCTGACAATTTTCCAATTCTATGCTATACATCAAATACCTAATTTGTTTCTTCCGAGATCGCAGGTCCCATGAACCTATTCTGAGACAGTTACCAAACCGAAGTAGACGGACAGTAAGAACAAGCTATACTATTTACACAAAGCTGTAAAGCAGACGAGTCTACAACTATTTTGACTGTGGTGTAAAATTTAAACTGTGTCTTTTTTTGTAACTTTCTCTTTAGCTAAACTCTTCAAAATGCCAGAAACATAGAAAAAAAACTTTACACTAGTAAACTTTCTTCTTTAATTAAAGTAGCTCTTTAATTAAAGAAGAAAGTTTACTAGTTGCTGGCTCTTGTCGGTGCAGCGTCCTAGTAGTTCAACTGAGTCCATCCTTCCCTGTTCATAGCCCTAACCCAATCCTTTAATTCTTTACAGGAAACAATATTTAAATTATTAAAAGTATTACTATTTTTGTGCACGCAACCAAACGTTTTACTGTTATATTGCATTTCATAAAGATTGTGGTTGGATTTTTTAAAAGTAAATGATAAGTGAGGAGCGCGCAAAGAGTATCTAGTAACATTAATCGCTATTTCGTTCGAAAAAAATCGTAATTGACAGGAACTCGATACTCTAAAATAAGTAATGAAAATCGATATATCGCGATTAAAAATATCGACGTTAATTTCGATGACTGCATGGAAAAATATAGATTTATCAATATTTTTTGCTCTTGCCAGGATTGCAAGCACCAGGGGTTTCCCCCTAAATTTAGGGGTACACAAACGCGTTGGGATTCTTTCAGAGGCGTTATATTTTTAAGGTTATAACTTCTTACATATTTTCCAAGTTTATTCAATATTATTTTTTGATTATAAAAAATATAGGGCTTGGATTAACGGAGTACAGAATGCTGATGTTGTGGGTTCGATTCCTACAGTGGCGACAATTTTTTTCGTTCTTTTTTACAAATTTTAACTTTTACTATCTTAATACCATTCATTTGTAATTGAGGTAAAAAAACTTCGCGCTATTATATTAATTATAATTTTTTTAATAATATTATTTTATTAACCCCCCTGGGTTGTAAAGGTTTTTGATTTAAGCTTTAGGGACAAATTTTTTCGAGAGTTGGTAAGACTGCCTAAACTAGGGATGCCGAAAGTGAAAAAATATATCGATCTATCGATAGTTATGAAAATATGAATATCCTCCTCGATTAATCGATATTTTCTTTTTAGGCCCTATTGTCCAATACAAAAAAAGAATGTCAAGTATTAAATAATGGAATGTATGAACTCTCTCCTGGATTAGATTATGAAAAAAAAATATCAGTTTTGATACGATTTCGATATTGAATAATTTATATCAATATATCGGATCTAAATATATCGACTTTAAATATCGATATATTTTATAAAAAATGTCGATATTTTTTCGGCATCCCTATATTAAACGTCAAAACTTTCAATAGGTAACTTTCTACCTGAACCTGACCTACCTGTGCTTTCTGCTGGTCGTTTTAAGTTCTGAATTTTATTATTTTGGTTTAAACCTTTCCAAAGCCTTACAATGGTACTTATAATGATATTTAATTTAAAGAGAAAATATTTCTTTGATTAATTAAAATTTAATGTCGTTTTTTTGTTTCAGGCGCGCTATTTTAAAGAACAAGATATCGATGGTAAGATAACTTGTGCGATGATCTAATTATTATTGTTATCACGTAGTAACTTCTCGATGTTAAGATGTATGATTTCTTAGTTTCAAAACGTTTCATTTGCGTGTGAATTTCATTCATAAGCAATAATCATTGAAAAGGCATCTTCTTACACATCGCACAGCCCAAAATGGGAAAATTTCAATTGTCTAACTATCACGGTTAAAGAGACACAACCTGGTAACAGACAAACAGACAGCGGAATCTTAGTAATAGGATCTTGTTTTACCCTTTGGGTATGGAACCCTAAAAATTTAGGAAATCTGCAATATATTTGAAATTTTTGTTTATTTACAGAATTCAGGGAATGTTTCTACCTCTTTGCCCGTTCTGGCCAGATCACTTCACTGGATGAGTTGACAGTAGTCATGCGCTCACTTGGCATGAGCCCCACAATTCAAGAGCTCACAGGTTTGGATAATTCCCTAAATAAGCATAAGCATCAACAACTTTAAACCGAATATCTACACACTATTTACAATCAGATTACTCAATTATTGAGATGCTACAAACAGTGTTTGGGGCCGCAAATGATTGGCTACATATTTACTTGTCATCTTCAAATGTATGGTGAAACCGGAATGCTTCCATATAAAAAAAAAATGTTTTTATTCAGTTAGTATTTTTATTAAATTAAATGCACTTTCACTAACAACAGGACTTACCGTACATTGAAATTGCTTTTTTGTATGCAAAGTGTTGTCAGGTTGTTCACCTGATGCCAAGTGATTACTGATGATATGTACAACACCTGTGGACTTGGAGATGTAATGACAACCTTTTAAAAAAATTCACCCTTTTTACCTCAATTACCGGACGAAATGCAAAGTGATATCTGTTAACTGAATGTTGAAGAAATATTCAAAATTTTCGTAAATTGGGCCAGTGTTGACTTATCATAGCACAAATATGTTCTATCATACAGAAAGAGGAACATTGTTGTATAACATGTATAATTTGTGGCCCTCCACATTTTGTGTACACAAAAATACGCATGTTTCAATGATGATTATTTTCCCAGTCTAAGAAATCTTTAAATCGTATTTCATGCCTTGTTTTTCCATAATTTTGCAAAATAGAATTCCATATAACATGGCCCTACTATATTTATTATAATCATATAAGTCACTATGTGTCAGAAATATGTGGAGAACAATAATAAGATTCCAAGGAATGTTGTCATGAAGCCATTGTTCTATTAATACAATAAATATGTTACTCATATGTTTAACTCCATTACAGTGGCACTTAAAAATATAAGATTTTGGCTAGATAAATAACAGTTACATTTCAGCAAATTAATTTTATTAAATTCGAATTAAATTATTACCTAAAAAAATAGAAAATTTGCATTAACAAAAATTAGTGTATCAGTTGAACCAAATCTTTATTCAAATGTAATATAGCTTTGTTAGTCAGGATTAATGCAGTTTTCTATTAATTAAAAACATCCTGAATTAGTCAATAGTTTTAACCTTACATATAGTAAAGATAGAACATACTTTAATAACCATCCTCCCTGATTCTTTTTTTTATGTGAAAAGTTGCCAAATAAGCAGACGGTTCACTTAATGTTAAGTGAATACCGCCGCCCATTAACATCTGCTACACCCAAGGGTTCCAGATGCGTTGACAACCTTTTGGAAATAAGTCTCCGGCCACCTCACCAGACGAAACGGAAAAGTGTTACCACTTTTCGCGGGTCTTCTGTGAGGTCGTGGTACTTACCCGGACGATCCTGCCCATTCGTGCAACAGCTGAGGCCTGTGGGGCTGCGTGGCCCTACCACCGTTAACTAACCTCCCTAATTCTGGTTTTTAAAAAAGTATAATGTACCTACTTCTCTTATTCTTTGGTTTATTACAGGGTATCTTAAGGGTAAAGGTGGCAAGATGTCGTTTGCGGACTTTTTGGAAGTTATGCACATCCATTCTCGAGCGGAGAATTTGCCCAATGAGGTAATACATGGTCTTCATTACTTTATTTTATGTGAGAAGTTGTTAATGGTCTAGTCAATGTGTGCTTTTCAGATCAAAATTTTTTCGCCTTCTCCGAAAATTATGATTTATATAAGTTTTTGAGATTGTAACATTATTGTCTATGATTATTACTACCATTACCACTACTACTATCATTTACAATAAAACAGAGATAATTTTTAACAAATAAAAAAACCGACTTCAATCAGAAAATTAAAAAAAACATTGTTAATATCTATAACATTCAACGATGGCCCTCGATTTCTCTGGGATGCCATCGTCAGATCCGGGTTTCCTTATCGTGGTACCACCCTTGGGATATCTCATTTCTGTCAAAACAAGAATCATCAAAATCGGCTCATAAACGATGAAGTTATCCGCGAACACACATAAAAAAAAATAAAAATATACGGTCGAATTGTGAAACCTCCTCCTTTTCTGAAGTCGGTTAAAAATGCTAAGGCCGCTCGCAATAATTCCATTAGTTTTAAACAATTAAGTGAAAAAAAGGGGGTTTGATTTTTCGCCAATATCTCAAAAACTATTCTTTGAATTTGTCGATTGTTGAAATTCGAATATCCCGACCCCCGGAAATGTAGGACCAATATTTATAATTTTCCCAGAGGGTTGAAAATACGCCAGAAAACGGGTACTCTGGCTTCCGCACGCAACGCCACCTTCGGACCTTTAATGAATAAATATTTTTTAACTTTATGACATTTATGAAAAATAAAAATTGAATAAATTCAGGCGGGATAGATCAATGTTGAACATAGGTCTCCCCCTTAGAAATCTAAAACGAAAGACACTTTGCCATTTGCACCCACCGGTTGCCCGCGACTCTTATGATATCGTCGGTCCACCTAGAGGAAGGCCTTCCAACGCTACGTCTTCCGGTTAGTTGCCACTCGAGAACCATTACTTCCCATCGGTCATCAGTTCTTCGAGCAATGCGGCCTGCCGACTACCACTTGCAACATGCAAATCCGGAGAGCTATGTCATCGACTCCGGATGACCTATGTGTCACTAACTTGCAATTAATTGGGCCCCGGTTACCTCAAATAAAAGTGTAACTATTTCTACTTCACACCGGGCATTGTGAGGCCGTAGTATTTCACCATCCCTGGACGACCTTGTCCTTTGAAGACATTTCCTCCAACAGCAAAAGCTGCTATGTGGCCTCAGCACAACATAAATTAAATTTATACTTAAAATAAAATTTCAATTCTTACTTACTATAATCATATTTAAGATTTACCAATTTACTAAAAATAAGCCGCAACTTCTTCCCTAAAAGTAACAGCCTATGTCTGTCCCACGGCTGGTCAAAGGGGATATTTCGGCATAGACCAAGTACCACTGCATATTTGCGGACTATTTACGAAATATTCTTTTTTGTTATTTCAAAAATATGCAGTTTTCCTCACGATGCTTTCCTGGAACAGTGAAGGAAAACATCGCGAGAAAACCTGAATATAAACCTGAAAATAATAACTAAAAAAGAAATTTTAAGATAGTTGAAGTCTAACATCCGCATTATGTACTATGCCCTAATACTGTCTGTATAGAGGCCTTTGCCCAGCAGTGGGACTTGTATGGGGTGATACTTTACTTTTTTACTTTTGAATTTATTGACATATAAATTTATATACGTTTATATGTGTGCTGCCCGCGACTACGTCTGCGTAGAAGAGGCTGAAGGCGTAACTTTCAAACAGAAAGACAGTTATCTAGTGCCCATAGTACAAACATTTCTTAGATTGGGTCTAGATAACATTGTGTAAATATATTTATTGTTCTATGCAGGTGGTGAATGCATTCAAGGCTGGCGACCCTGAGAAGAGGGGCGTGGTGCCGGCGCGGCAGCTGCGCAATTTGCTCCAGAGCTGGGGCGAAGGCCTGTCTCAGCGGGAGGTCCTAACTTTTGTATAATTTTTTTTATATCATTTTTGTATCATTCACACTTTGGAAAATGGAAGGCGATTCTAATACGTCGACCCCCCTAATAACCAAGCTCTCTGTTTCAAATTCAAATATTTATTATCCATAAATAGGGTTACAAATGTTTACATGTCTGTCGCTTTAACCTACTTAGCTGCATAACAGAATGCAAATTTAGCTTTAGCAATAGAATTGCCATTAAGTCATCAAATAAAAAAAAATGGTAATAGTATTTAACCTAGTACATAATTAATTCAATATAAAAAAAATAATAATACAATTTTGCCCTAATAGTTATGATTCATTAGCTTTATTGTACTGAAAGGAGCCTAAGATAAAGCTATATCCAAATTGTTACATAACCATTCAAATATTTCCTCCGGACCCCGTTGAGTCTTCCTCCTGGGCACAAATAACCATGGCCAATCTGGAAGTCTTCAAATAGACTTCGGACTGAGGTTGGCCGGAGTAAGGAGCCCCCTGAATTTTTGCTACCCGGCTGTCCATTTCAAAACTCCGACGAGCAATATTTATCGCCGATTACTATGTGCTGTTATGTGTATCTGTTCGCCCTCAGGTGGACAACATTTTCCGCGAGGCGAACGTCACCAACAACGGAACAGTCCGATATGAGGACTTTGTGAAAATCGCCTGCGCACCAGTCCCCGATTACTACTGAGCGTTCTTGATTCGCACTCGATCAGTATACTTATCTGAGAATGAATTAGTATTTTGCAAACTAGAAACTTAACCCAAAATGACAGATTTATAATATTAGATTGCGTTCCATCATTAAACGCTCAAAACGATCGAAATTTTCCTTCTGCCGTTCCCCGGTCGTTTGTGAAGTCACTAATAAGTCGAAGAGGACGTTGAGAAATTCGGCGCAGAAAAAGTTTAAAACGTCGACAGAAAAATTATTCTGCGTAATGCCGAGATGTTTTAAACAAAAAAAAAATACATTTTGATTACATCAAACGTAAGAGGGAGTGATGTGAGTATATGTGATTAATAGTGTTGCCAAAAACTAAAAGATTTATTAATATCATAATTATTGAAAAGTGACAAAAGAGATTTGTATTTATTGTTTATTATCATATATTTTTTATTATACATATATTTTTTTCTAATCCATCCCGATTAAAGATAACAGATTGGTTGTTGTCAAAAAGGCCTTAAATTTATCATCAAATTATAATCAACATTGTTTCCTAACATTCCCTTGACTTCCATTTAATATCCGTCCAATTATTTATTTTCAATATTATATTATTAAGTTGGGAAGGGAATTTATAAAATAAAACTAATCAGAAAAATACAAAGTGTTTTATTTTCAAACGTAACAAACAACTATAAATTGATATGGCACTCGTCGCTGTATGTCGTGGTTCATTCGATTAAATATTTCCTTGAACGGTTCAACAGTAGAAATATAGCTCAAAGCATTACGAAAATGTAAGTGCACGTATTTGGCTGAATGTCGTGCTGATCGTAAATGTATATCGATAGTAGAAAGGTTCTGTAGTATAAATAGGAGTACCCCAAGGATCGAACCTAGGTACAATGCGCCAATCTCTATTCATAAGTAAAAAAAAATAAAAAAAAATTAAAATCGAGATTAAAATAAATATTGCCTGTAGCCCACTGGTCAAATTTCTAAGAAAGGTTTTTACAAAATATTGACATACTTTCAATAGTTCAATACGTTAAATGTTCGCAGCTTAATCGACAAAACTTTATAGGAACAAAAATAGATTTCGATCCATCTGATTCCTTTTTTCCAGTGTATGTAAAAACGAAGCCCAATTTTCAAAAGGTTGTCAACGCATCTGTAACCCTCGGGTATAGCAGATGTCCATGGGCAGCGGTATTCACTTAACATCAGGTGAACCGTCTGCTCGTTTGGCAACTTTTCACATTAAAAAAAAATAAAATCTTTTGTCTATGTCTCGAAAATAGTACGCACAATCAGTTTTATTTAGGATTTTGATAAATTCCCTGACAAATTCGTAACAACCTATTACGAAATTTACAGGCCAATAAGCTGCCAATAACAAACGTTGGACATTGAAACACTTTTTGTACGATCGTCGAATTGTTTAATTAAGCAGAAGAAAATGAATTCGTTTGATTGAAATCAAAATATTTGGTTTTAACTAGGCATATTATTACTCAGGTTTTTTTTTTAATTTATGCCGAAATTCTGATTGAACAATTCACGTTCTCACGTGCGATATATTTTCAACTAACTCCTACGGCTCATAAAAAAAACGCACCTAACCTTTCATTTATTGACCAGATTTTCATAATGGCGAAAATAAGCTTACGATTAAAATATCTTAAATATTATGACGAAATAACATCAAGAATTAACAATTGATCGCAATTAGGTCCAGATCTAGACATGCTTTATAGTACAACTAAATCTACGACTCGCTGAAATGAAACTACTAGCGCACTCTTGCGAACCGTGACAATAACATTATTTTGCTTTTTACTTTTTAGCTGGCTTTAAAACAGGAAGAGGTTTCTCAATTCGACCGGTAGGTATATTTCTTTTTGTGTGTTCGCGGATAACTTCGTCGTTTATGAATCGATTTTGATGATTCTTTTTTTGTTGGAAAGATGATATCCCAAGGGGGGTACCGTGATAAGGAAATGGATGGATCTGATGATGGCATCCCAGAGAAATCGAGGGCAATTCTCAAATATTATAGGTATCAACAATGTTTTTTAACGTTTAGGAGTTAGGTGATTTCTTGTTCTACATTTATATATATAGACTTGTCGTTATATAACATAAACAACACGTGGACGTTTGAAAAACGTAATACGTATTTAAAACCGAAAATTATTTCTCTATTTTTTTAAATTATTATAATTAGATCATATCAATCGATACATAACGAATAAGAATATATAATAATATAATATGTGATATGACATTCAATAATTGACTGTTGAATTTGTATTTTATAAGAACCGGTATACGCATAATGTATGGCACTAAGATTTAAAACTATCAAAGAATATAATTATGTAGGTATAGTATGTCATAAGATATCCAGCTCAATCAAATGTCAATTATTAAGGGCACATTAAGGAATAGGACAAATCATTGAAGCCACATTTATCTAGATTGACACCACAAGGGCTTGGTAAACAACACCACATCTGTAGAGACTAATATGCAGTTTGTTTAATTCAATTAGCTAGTATAATTTTCACAAGAATCTCCCGTTGTCTTACGTGTTTTGAATAATTCGATGCGAAAGTTGATATACTTTGAATAAAATAAATGTGATATTGAAGAAAAGGTTATGGCGGTTAAAAATAAAGTTTTATACGCATTTCGCGGGTGGATAGCATTCGTTGCGTTTATGGATTTGGAGACGGCTGGTCGATCGTATATTGAAAGGAGTTCGTTTCAAGTCATGATGAGACAATTTAGACGGTAAGTGTGGAACTAGAAAGTAATTTAAATTGATTATTACAAAGAACAAGCAATACTACATTAAAATGCACCGTTGGGCCAGTCTGCGAGTGTGTGTTAGTCGAATTCGATTCAAAATATATACATATTTCATCATCATCATCATTTCATCATTTCAGCCTGTTTGAGTCCACTGCTGAACATAGGCCTCCCCCACAGACTGCCACGAAGTACGATCCTGAGCCACCTGCATCCATCGACTTCCCGCACATTTGCACAGGTCGTCATATTTATCTATTGGGAAAGGTATGACGGTTTCCTCAATATTATTCTAATTCTATATAAATCAACAACAAATCGGAATTAAAAAATCACTAAATTGATACGGACACACAGATTTGAACTCCGGTTGGTAAAGCATAATGAATTAAAGTCTAGCATCGGGGACACTATATAGTAAAATTATCGTTTATATTAAAATAAATGATGAACTTTGTTTTTGGGTGACTATAATATTCCGCTTGCTGGATTCTGAACTTCTTAGAAATATATATTGTTTATTTAGTAAGTGTAAAAAACGTTGTTGCCATGGTTACCACTCTGAAATTGGCCTTGCTTTTAGGTGTTGCCCATCCTAATAATTGACACTCATCAATTTTCCCAAACGTACCATTAGAAGTATAACTTCCTGCTTACGTTTCGATGATTTCAGTAAACAATCTTTACTGCCTAAAAGGTATACCATGAATAGGGAAAGTTTTTTATCATACTCTTTACACAAATTTGATGGTCGATTATAAATCTTAATATAAAAATGTGACAGTTCTAAAGCGGGCAGTCAAGGAAACCAGTATTTCAAACGCTAACTTAAGAACACCCAAACAAACTAAATTCTAGAAAGATATGAGGCTTATAAAATAATTCCTATTACCTTAACGCTCAGGTTTCTTTTTTTGTTTTTTTTTTATATTAGCAACGTCAACTTCCTTTGCAGCAAGTACTAGTTTAACTTGCCATGTTAAAGGCGTATAGTTGACATTCATAAGATAAAATATAAGATATTTAGTAACCGCTAACAAAATCACACACAACACTAAATATTTCGATACAAAAATTGGTCGGTACGTGTATAATCTTATTGAAAATATCACCAAATATGTGACGTGTTCTAAAAAGCTATCAGGCACTAAAATACACAGTGTGTTGCATTTATCGCTAAAGATTGTAAGCTAGTATTAGATTTATTTTGAGAGAAAGACACTGAGAAACATATTTTAGTTTAGTTTCAAAAAATTCAAGGATTAGGAAGCATTAATTCAGGCACGCAACCATAAAACAACACACACGCGAGGCAGTATTTTTTTTCTTATCTTTTTAAAAACATTGCCTTTACTTTGGGATAACATTATCCTGTGTTGTAAGGACGTTTTTACAAACATAAACTTCACGCGGACAAACACCCAGATGCGGGACAACTATCAGTGGGTCGCACAAATAGTTGTACCGTGTGGGAATCGAACCCACGACCCCCGACGCGGAAGCCGATACCTTGGTGACTGCGCCAAATTATTATTTCAATCTACCATTAATGTTTTATGGTTGACTTCTAAACGGACTAAGGTGTTCCGTATAATGCGTAACCACTGCTCATTAATTTAAATTATATCGATTATTTTCAGGGATGATTCTACTAACTACTACGAGAATTAAAATTGTAAGAATGTACTTTAAAAAAAAAACTTGTGAAACCTAAATTAGCAGGTTTTAGTACGAAACTGTTACAGATCGAAAACTAAAACAGTTTCGGTTCTGTGGCAAACGTTACAACAGTCCAAAACAATAATGCTAATTTTGGTATAAGCGTTCAATATCGATTTTTATCACAATTCTTAGGGAGAACTGAAGGAAATACTACCTAAGTTTTAGGTAACTTTAAAATCCATGTCACTAATTCAATCCTTTGATAAAATATTGACTCCGCAATCAAACATGTTTGTTTTTTATGGGGTTGCCAGCTTTCCTTCGTCTAAAGTTGCCCATTTGTCGGAGGATTTGTACATTCTCATCGTCGACTTCTCTGTCCATACCCGAGGTTCCCGGAATGGTTCCCCAAAGCTTGAGCTTACCTGGGAGGTAAATAAGGCCGAGGAGTGTGATAACTGAAAAAAAAAAAAAAAAAATTCAATAGCAACCAAATTCGTCCTGGGGTAAAATTACTCAATTTTTTATATTATAACCGGGAATCAATATTAAAACACGAATATAAATCGAAACAATATTGCGATATATTTTTACGAAAACACCCAGTTATAATAAACACTTTCGGTTGAAACAGAAAGCGTATTTCAAATATTTGTGGTAGTAACGATTTCTAATGTAGATGTGATTACTATACATTGCTAAATAAAATTAATTGAGGGATTTTGTCGCCTTTTTGTATTCGATAAAAAAAATATTCCAAGTGATGGTCAAAATGTCAGTCAAAATGACTTCCAGGCATAAGCAATTTAAAAGAATAGCCAAGATTTCCACTTTTCATACATTGAAGTACTTATTTCTCAAAATTCAAAATTTTCTCTATCTCTTAAAAATATTTGCAAGTGAAAACTTCAGTGCCTGCTGTATAAGTTAACTTAATAGGTAATAATTACTTACTATTTAATATACATGGGAATACAACGTAAAAATTGAGATTTGTTGAATGGAAGTAGAAGGCCTCCGTAAAGTATAAAATTATTGTCAATGCAAGTGACCAATAACCCATTGAGACAACACTGAAAATAAAGAAAAACTTGACTGTAAAAGCTATTTATTTGTATTCCATATTATAATAAAATACACCGGTTAGCATATTTTTGTGTTTTATTCTCTGCCACATAAGACATCAAACAATCGATGGTTAAAACATGTTATGTCCATGTTATTTTAAGATATAAATATGTGAAGCGAAAAGATAATTTGCAATAAGGGAGGTGTGATTTTTTGGAAAAAGAAAGTTTATATGGAGACAAAGCACAGAAAACCATAGTTTATATGCAACATAAATCATCCTCCTGCCCTTATCCCACCGAGGTGAGGTCGGCACAGGCTTTGTCTTTACAACCGGCTGCAACAAATAGTTGTCCCGTGTAGGAACCGAACCCACAACCTCCTATGTCGAAGCCAATTGCTTAGCAACGGCAGTTTACATTCACAATTTCAACGTGAAAATTAAAAAATATCAGAATGAGCCTGTGAAATAATAAATCGTTAAATTCAAGCTTCCATAAATTATAAGGAGTGATTCAGGGAAGTAAAATGTCTCACAGAATACCAGTGTGAAGTGTAAGTTCACATTTCGTTTGGTGCGACCGACCAATTTTAAAGGTTGCAATGCATCTTCAAGCCCTCAGGTGTTGAAGATGTCTCAGGTGGCAGTGATCACGTAACATCAAGGACCCACCCATACATATACTTTGACAACCCATTAGTAACAAAAATATTTTTGTTTTTTAATTAGTCTAAAATTAGCCTTAATTACTATACAATTAATTTTAATTAAATTTAAATATTCACAGTCAACATGTCATCGAACCCATACCTCTATAATCTCTAAACTTAACAGTAACTATTTGTTAGTCTGTTAAATTCACTATAGCTGTATTTTGAGCAATAGAGGTCTACCAGATAGATATAAATATTTGACAACTTATTAACTTCCATTTTCCAAAGATACTAAAAAATAAGAGCTGTTCATTATTTTTTTTTTAAATAAATAGAATACCCTAAACATGCTTTTTACATTGGCTTCATTTTTTTCTCTCTTTTTTTTAAGTATTTAAAACATTTTTAAGGACACAACAATAATTAATGGTAATCCAGCTAAAAGTTCCGTATCATAGTTTGATTTAAATTTTTCAGCCAGAGGGATGTATAGAGAACAAAACCACAAATGTATGAATCACTAAATGAAAAAATAGAGCAAAGTAAACAATATGAGTGGAAAATTTCTGTACTTACGGCTTGTAATGAATATATAATGTACAATGTATAAGTGCCAAAGCTTTCAGAACTGAGTACATGCCCAGCAGGCGGGATATTGTAAAGTCACCTGAAAACAAAGTTCATCATTTATTTTAATATAAATGATAATTTTCTGCTATTATAAAAAAGTAGTCTCCCGATGCTTGAATTTAATTCATTATGGTTGACCAACAGAGTTCAAATCTAGCTGTCTGTTCCAATCAGATTTTTAGTTCCAATTTAGTGTTAGTATATAGAAATTACCATGCTTGTTTTTGAAGAAAACATTGTAATTGTAAGCATACCTTTATAAAGAGATAGATAAAAATATATTTCAATGATCTGTAGAGCCGGCTAATTCACACCAGAGTCGCAACACAGACTGTTTTAATGGCCTCTGCAGACCTTTGCCCAGCAGTGCATTTAAATGTTGAATCTCTCATCCTTTATGAATAATCAATTTAAATGATTTTTCTCGTTCCAGACTTACCGTCTAAGTGGTCGCCATCACCATTATGACTTAGGAACGACCTCCTTTCGATATACGATCGTCCAGCCGTCCCCAAATCCATAAACGCAACGAATGCTATCCACCCGCGAAATGCGTATAAAACTTTATTTTGAACCGCCATAACCTTTTCTGCAATAACACTTAATTTATTTTACGTATTTCAACTTTCGGAGCGAATTATTCAAAACTTGTAAGACAACTTCAGATTTTTGTGCAGATTATCAGAGCTAATTGAATTAAACAAACCAGATATTTTAGTCTATACAGCTGTAATGTTCACCAAGCTTCGCATTGCGGCAGATATACAACATTTTCAGATATATAGAATTACTCTTTGCATTGCGGTAATAACATTGCGGCATTTCTTTCTTTCAACCGCAGTTTAACAGTGTGACCAACTCTCAAATATATTTGTCCCTAAAGCTGTCAAAAACTTAAAACTACCAAATCCATTATCCATTTTTAATAATATTTGTAATAGCCTGAAATAAATACATGTTTTTTAAAACCGAAATTGAATCGATACATCGATATTATTTTAAATATATCAAGGCAGATATTGACAATTCTATAACTAATGATACATCGATATATTAATTCACTTTCGACATCCCTATGTCATTATCAAATGTTATTTTTTTTTCCCCTACTATGGCTCCACTGATACGTCAGTGATTTTGCCAATGACTTGGTACTTGGAGATCGACTACGCTGAGGACAATAATAACCTACTGTATTAAATCACTTTCAGTTGCGTACCTTTAAATAGGTCATACAAAGGGAGATAACATAGGACAGCTAAACAATAAATGATCAAGAGTACCCCCTTAAATGAAACTACTTTACGGATTTATCGCGTTTTTTATTTTGATTTAAATTCCCGACGTATCGAACCCTTTCCAGCGTTCATGGTCACGGGACAGAATAACTTAGTCTACTCTCTCTCTACTAAGTCAAGTCAGTAGTTTCATTTAATATGTATAATATTCGCGTAAAATCAATAAAACAATAAGAGTACCCTCATCTAACCAGAATTCACACAAAGACGTATTTCGGATATGCAGTTTAGCCAGAAACACAGGTGAACACACATGGCCTAGTCTGAGCCTGATTAGATAATAGATTTAGTATTTTTGTGATAACATCTATATCTAAAGAACCAAGGTTTGGTAGGAATAAAAGGTTGAATTAGACTATAATCTTTACACCTTTCACGTCCAATTGCCTGCCACATGTTACCCAAAACCCTTAACATATTCTGTTTGGCAGAGAGACGCAGATCACGCACAAAACATTGACCCATTGGAACCCCTAAGTATAATAACTTAGGGGTTCCGAGTTGAATTGCTTCTTTGGCACAGCAATCTGCTTTTTCATTTCCAAGAATGCCGCAGTGACTTGGAATCCATGCTAATACTACTTCTAGACCAGCACAGTAGCATTTATACAGGGAGAGTTTTTAAGAAGTGCCCAAATTTACACAGGAGTTTCAGACTCAGTAGTGTAATTGTTTATTGAAATAAAAAACAAAGTTCTTTTTTCCAAAAAATGTCATTCTATTCCCTAAAAAACAGAACGTGTTGACAATGCGGTAGTCATTCATAACTACCTAAATTTTACTGTGTACGAACTTGTGTGCGTGTTAGTTATGAATGATCGCGCATAAAATAAATGAGTTGCTTATATATAATTAAATAAAAAAAATGTAAAAGCTTAGAAAAGCCACCCTGTCTATATAAATCCCAACGTGTTTATTTACCCCCTAAATTTGTGGGGAAAACCCCTAAGCTGGCAACCCTAACGTTTATTCATGAAAAAATATTATTTTGCATTCTTGTCCAAAGTTAAGCGAAAGTGTCACTAACTGAAGGCCAAGGTTGCCAACTTGGGGATTTTCTCCTCAAATTTAAGGGATAATCAAACGCGTTGGGATTTTTTTAGGGGCGTTATATTTTTAAGGATTCCTTTATATATATTTATTTCCAATGTTTTATTTCTTGTTATTAACTGTTGGAAACTAAAGCAAAAGCGTTTTCACTATTTATTATTTAACTATGAAATTGCCGTTATTCAGTAATGACCATTTCACGTGGAAGCCATAATGGATACTTTAAAAATTGGTGTAATTACGGAATATGAGTCGTCATGGAACCAACGCGACACAAACGGCACGTTAATATCAACAACGTTTATGGCAGGGGGGGCTCACTTAGAACAATGTCAAATTTTATGTCCGACAGCGACATCTGGAGTTTGGTGGAAACAATAAAAGCTTAGCCGCCATTTTGTCCTATCTAGAGCTTGTCAAACTTCATTCATTATCAATCATCTTCTGCTGATTCGTGTTGTTGATGTTTGAAGTTTGATGCATTTAGAGGTTAACTTTTGGTTAACTGTAACTCAGTAAAATTTTGTTATTTGGTTAAAACCGACATCTTTCGGTTTGTTATTAATATTCTTGTTTATCGTTACATTGTTTTGTCGAATTTTGTTGTTCATAATTGGTAATTTTGTTGAACTTAGTTCTATTGTTAAGATGAGTGAACCTCCGAAAAAATATTGTATTTTTGGTTGTGATGCTTTAGGTGAGGCTTTCAACTATCATTATTTCAAAATACCTATTTATACATTAATATATGTTCTTTATACTAATTAAATGTTTCCTATTTAAGTTGCGCGGTGTACCCCAACACCGTTTTCCAAATCCCGTTTTCCAAATCCTGAGAAGCGTCGTGATTTATTTACTGCCTGGGTGTCAGCTATTGGAGACAAACATACAGAAACTGATCCTAAGAAAATATATGCAAATAAAAGGTTATGTGATAACCATTTTGATTCAATGTATAAGACTACCGGAGGTCTTCTTAGTTGGTCAACAATCAATACCAACCATTAATTTGAATCGTAAGTGAAATTTGATTCTTCTTCTTCTAAGGCAGTTGGCGGTCCATATGATATCGTGACAATAATGATAAAGAAACAAATGGTTTGAAATATTTAAAACATTTTTGTGAATATTGTAATATGTAACGTTGATTTTTGATACGAAATTTGATTCAATATGTTATTAAATAATTCTGACTTTCTATTTGTGTGTGACATTAAAACATTTTTTTTTAATTTTGACATTAAAAGTCTACTAACTTTATAAATTTTAAATATTTGCAAACATCTATAGGCTCAGTACATTGATGTTGGCCCATAACAAGGTTGCTATAGGCCTTCTTAGCCATAACCATATTTTATATCCGAAACCCTAACAAAATCCAATATAAAAGTTCCAGATAATTTTGGGTTAATATTGGATGGGTAGGACAACACACTACGACAGGTTTTTACCTGGCCAAGCCAGCACTAGCTGAATCACATACATCTGTATGTCAGTTTCTCTTGAACGGGTTGTACTATATGAGATGAACTATAGTATTGTGTTCTAAGTCTGCTTAAACTAGTAACTATGATATCAACGATAATATTGTAAAATAAATAAAAATGTTTTAATGTTATTTTGCAGGTGTGCAGCAATCACTATTAACATTTGTTGAAATTGACCATAGTTACTCCTGTCCAAGAAGAGAATATTCACAATCTAAACCTTTGGTTAATATAACAAATATTCCTGGAACTTCTCTATGTAAAGTGTCACTAGGTGGCCCCACTAAACGTCAAATGCCATCTAGTTCTACAACTTCAAATAAAGAGAACCATGATGATCTAAAATCTTCAAATAATTTTGGTGCAGGTAATACAATTTTCTATATTTATTTCTTACAAAGGATAAGTTTACAAGTTTCTAGGAATTATAATTATGTACGGTAATTGTTAACAATAGAGGCAAACGCGTTTTTAAAAAAAGATATTTTAATCAATAGTGAAACTAGCAAAACTATAATTATGAAGTAAAAATAACTGAAGGTACTTAGATATTGAAAAACATTATATTTGACGAACTAATACTCAATACCTACAATCAGTGTTACAAATCTTGATTGGTCATCGTAGATTTAGAGAAAATAAATTGTTAAAAGATGGAGACACAGAAAAGAAAGTTAATCAATCCTATAAGGGTTCTACTTTTTGTATGTAAAATTCCGATCAACCAACCACCACTAATTGTGACTTTTCTAGTGCTTATGTAAATGCACCACCTTATTTTCCATGAATTCAATTTGTCACAGATAAGGTTAATAAATAATCTTCATAGCTGGATACTTGTTACATGTTAATACATATAAAAACATTGTTGTGTTATTAAATCTTAATTCTATTTACATGAATTAATTCTTGATATAAACTTTCAGATAAAATGTTCAAGTATCTGCAGAAAACGTCTCAGACTTGGTGTGCAAGAAAAGCAAGAAAGATGCAAAGTGAAATAAGAACATTGCACCAACAAGTTAAATTTCAAGTCACGTCTTAGGCAGGTACAGAAGTCATCATTAAAAAGAGATTTTGAAAAATTATCTCAGAACATGTCGGAGTCAGCAAAGCTATTTACCAGGATGCAATTCATGGAAGGACTGAAGAAAAAAAGGGTGTAGATTCACTCTTGACAAAAAAATATTGACTCTCTCTTTGTACAAGAAAAGCCCTAAAAGTTACAAATTAATGTGTAAGCATTTCACTTTACCATCAAAAAATATATTAAAATTATATAGATTCTAAAATATATAAGATTATAATTAAAGTGATGGGGAGAAAATTGAAAAATCTGTACCAACTGTAAATAATTTAATGAGAACAATCGTCAAACATCTTCGAAAAACATTGTGGCAATTATTGTTTAAAAAATATTCCTTTGACGCCATACTAACACGCAATTTTAACCAAGACCCACTTGAAAACTTTTTTGGAAGTATTCGCAGTTTGGGTGCTCGGAATATTGCACCTAACTGTTTGGGATTTGAGGGAGCATTTAAAACACTTTTATTAAATAATTTCAGTAGCAATCACTCTATTCATTCAAATTGTGAAGGAGATTTAAACAATTGTTTGCAGCCACTCTCTTTTTTTATTAAGAATAAAGAATTTAATAAGGCTCCCTTTAAATCCCAAAAAATTGTTATTGATCAGCCTCTGACTATTATGCAAAGAACAAGAAATGTTTTAGATTCCGGGACTGAACAGAGAACTTATGTCTATGGGTGGGCCTTGATGAAATGTTTACAAAAAGTAGTCAAAGGATGCAAAAAATGTAAGGACAAGACTAAGCAATACTGGCAATGGATTGTATAAATATATTAAGGCCAAAGAATAAAGTCAAAATAAAAAATGGCTCTGCTATACATCTGAATGCTTAGTGGCTTGTCTTCAAGGAATACAATAAATAACAATTGCATTTTTAAATTATGATTGTCATAAAAAATATATAAAAGAAAGCTTTCATCTCTCATTTTTACTTATTTTGCCTTCATAGATTGTGAAACTCATAAAGAAAATTTAAAGAAATGTTTTATTGATATATCCATTAATATAATTGTTTATAGTTGGAGCAGATCTGTAAATAGAATACTAGAAGGAAAACTTGTTTATAATGGAAACAATAGAATTACTGTTCAAATTTACTGTTCTAAAGATAAAATAAAATTATTTAGTTAATTTTGCACTATAGTTATTTTTTCCCATTATGTTCAAACCCCAATTACAAGAACAGATCTAAACTTGTTGTCATGGTTGTAATAGAAAAAATGTACACATATTTTATATAAATGAACATTTTCAGTCAATGTAATATAAACAATAACAATTTTTTCCTAGAACCCAAAAGTACTTCTATAATGCGTATTGTGTTCCAATTTGAGAAAACTTCCAGGATAAAGCTAAGGGGGCCATTTTCAAAAATGGAAAGAAAATATCCTTTGCTTTGCTACCTTTAGTTTAGACAATTTCAATTATTTAGCATATTTAAAAAAATCCGTACCAGTTATTAAAATATCTTAAAAACCTTGTGTTATAGTCTTTACTCAAGAAATAAGCATTTCATTTTGGTTTGGTGAATAGGAAATCACATAATATAGAGGCATATAATATGTATATGTAGGCATAATAAGTATACACACACATTGGCCTAAAAACTGTCAATTTGTGTATAGATGAAGTTACTCAACCAAACTCCAGGCGGCAGCACTTTCCATAGATCTAATTTTAGTCATAGAGTTGCCACTCTTTCTCCTATGTATAACTTTACTCTTTGGTTTACGGGGAGAAAGGTCAATCTTTCGTCCCCGCTGTTCCTTTACGACAAGATTCAACCCCATACTGCCTAAACAAACAATCTTCAAGCTGCAAAAGTTATGGTTGGTAGCTCTCCCTTATCCGCCATACTTCTTATATACCGAATATTACTTTTTACAAATTTTGAGCATTTTTTTAGCAGGAAAAAAATCAATTCCCGAAATGCAGTACAAAATGCCTTTGAAGTGTTTGTTGCCTCCCATCTAGCTGATTTTTACAAGAAAGGGGATCAATAAACTACCAATGCGTTGGCGGAAATGCGTCGATTGCATGGGTTAGAAAAAAAAATTTAATACTTTAATTTATAAAACGGCAATTTCATAGACTTTAATATTTAAAATTAAATAATATTATTAGAGGCGGTTTTAGTTTTGACTTTGGAGACAAATTTTTTTGAGAGTTGATAACACTACTGAAAGCAATATGAGATTTGACTACGGGTGTCCACTCCACATAATACATCGATGTTTTTTCTCGATGCAATACTTCGAGACTGTGCATCCATATTTTCCGATGCAATGAATAGAAAAATCGGTGTTTTCTCAACATCAAGTACTTTTTCTCACATATCACAACCAGTCAGAGTCAGTTGACACTCTATATAAACAAACGACATGTTTTAATCATCTATTTTACCTTCAAAGAATGTATGTAATTAAGAAAAGAAAAGACTTTAAGCAAACCTTCCCTGATTCCATTGTTTATCAAATAAAAACAATTCGAAACTATGACTGCTATTCGTGCGATATTATTAACGTAATAATAAGACGGCTGAACTCACGTTAAACCGGTGTATGTCCGTTCAATGTGATTTCAACCGTCTTATTACTGAACAGTTCACAATTTCTGGTATCTCCACAGATTTAACTAAATTTAATTATGTCATCGCTCAGCTGGAAACCCGCATAATTGGAGAAGTAGAGGATATTATTCTTTAACCACCGTCTGGAGACAAGTATGGTAGGTTAAACTCAGAGCTCATTCGCAGCCTACGAATGAGCTCTCAGCATCGGAGGAACAACGTGTCCGTCAGCTTGTTGGCGATGAGGAGCTTGGCGATCGTCGCTAGCTATCTTAGGTCGTTAGCTGGGAACGCTTTCACGGACGAAAATTTACTCCGCCAACTTGGAATGCGCTGCCTACCACAGCACCTTCAGGCGATTTTGGCCGTTCAGTCTGAACTGTCACTTAACAAAATTGCTGAGTTAGCAGACAAATTTTTGGAAGTTTCTCCTGGTCTGGGCACTCCTCGCTCACCGGTCGTCTTTTCAGCTTGTACTCCAGCCGTGTCGTCTTTATCACTCGATGACATCACACGGCGCCTAGATGAGCTTACTCGCCAGATTGCAGTGCTCATAGCTGAACGCGGTAGGGATAGGTCACGGGGTCGCTCAAACCAGCGTGATCGCTCGCAAACAGCCGGTAAGTCTAAAATGTGTTTTTACCACACGAAGTATGGGATCAAAGCAGCTAAGTGCGTTAAGCCTTGCACCTGGACGCCGCCGCCTTCGGAAAATTCGAACAACAGTCACTAGCGGTGATCACAGACTGCTTACCGGAGAGTCGCCGATTATTTGTCACCGAAAGTGTATCGAAGTTAGTCAGTTTTTAATTGACACAGCCAATAAGCCATTGCGATCAAATTATAATTAGGCACTGCAAAATTTCTCTCCTCCGAAGATCGTACAAGGACTCCGCCGTCTTATAAGGATGGTCAACTATTATCGCCGATTTGTGCGAAATGCTGCAGAATTGCAAGCACCGCTCATCGACGCGATCGTGGCTTCCCATGGCAAAGTTCCCACACCAGTCACTTGGACACCTGAGCTCTTAGCTCAGAGCTGGCTTGTAAAGACAGCTTAATATCTGCTGCTCTTCTGGCCCATCCACTTCCAAACGCTGAGTTAGGTCTCTTTACAGACGCCTCCAATTCTCACGTCTGTGCATGCCTTCAGCAGAAAGTAGGAGATGCCTGGGAACCCTTAGGTTTCTTCAGCAAAAAGCTGAAATCCAAACAGTCCCAATGGCCAAATTACTACAGAGAGTTACTCGCTGTTTATGAGAGCATGCAGAATTATCGACATTTGCTCGCCGCGCAACACGTTAAAACTTACACGGATCACAAGTCGCTAGGGTTCGCGCAACGCCGCGAGAGGCTGCCACCCGTACAGCTCAACTAAATTTCTTTCATATCTCTCCGATTAACATCATCGGGCCATTGCCATTTCGTTCTGGTTTTCAATATTGCCTTATTTATATACCCGAGTATAACGGTTTACAGCGGCAATATTGCCGCTGTAGATCGTTATACTCTGTGGCCAGAAGCATGGCCTATGAGTGGTATGAATAACTGCGGAAGAGGTGGTAAGTACCTTCGTGGCCGGCTGGATTTCTCGATTCGGTCTTCCTGCTGTCATAACAACTGACCAGGGACGACAGTTCGAATCGGACCTTTTCAGACGCCTTACTGACATGTGCGGTACTAAACGTATTCGAACCACTAGTTACCATCCTTGTGCCAATGGACTCGTTGAGCGCATGCACAGGCAGTTAAAAGCCTCCCTTATGTGCCATGATGATTCCTGGTTAAGCGCATTGCCTTTAGTCCTCTTGGGGATGCGTTCTGCGTTTAAGGAAGATATACAGGCAACAGTAGCAGAAATGCTCTATGGAGAAAACTTGTTACTCCCAGGAGAACTATTAGTATCTTCTGGAGTTTCTGGCCCTGAGGAGCTTCCGGACTTTGTCTGCAAACTAAGACAACATATGTCCAAATTGCGTCCAGCCCCAGCTTCTCAACATAGACAGTAGTCACCTTTCGTTTTTAAGGATCTATAAGGATTTTATACGTCATGCTTAGGAACGATACTGTTCGTCGCTCTCTGCAGCCTCCCTACTCCGGCCCTCATAAGGTGATTTCTAGAGCCGAGGACGGGAAGACGTTCTCGATAGAAGTCAATGGCAAGCATACGACGGTTAGTGTCGACAGACTCAAGCCAGCTTTTGTCGAACATCCGATTTTCGCGGATTCATTTTCTCCGGCATCACCACCTTGTGTTTCTGTGCCTCAACCTGTGTAACTAGATACTATTCGGACATCCTCTTCGCCTACCGTACCATCCGCACCCTTTCCTGCTTCTTCTCCTTCACACACACCTCAGTAAACCACTCGGTTTGGTCGTAGAGTCCATTTCTCCAAACCTTTTGAACTTTAAATTTCATATTTCCTACGGATTCTCCTTCCCCATAGGGGGTGGTGTGGCGATTTCGAACGCACTCAACAACGTGTGATGCATATCCGGAACGCGAGTTCGGAATAGAGGCGACATGGCGGTCGGTGACAGAGTTTAAGAGAGGAACATTGCACATAATTATACGAGCGTTTTCTAACTTGTGGAATATCTCCATATGATTTGTGATACTGTATAGCTCTGATGTCTTATAAAGTGTACCTATTGCTTATGTAACTATAAGTCACCGCATGGCTAATATACAGTTTTATTCAGTGTGTGCTTTTATTGATGGCTTGCCCACGCTGGCGTTTACGGACCCAAAAGTGACCATACATATACCTCAAAATTATCATATAATAAAACAACAACTAGTCTTATACAACTTACCTATTGAATTCCTGGCATTGATAGAGATTGCTTCAAATGCTAAAATACAATATAGATAAAAGGCGTTGAGAATTTCGTCGGTGTGGCAATCAGTCGTCTAGCTTATCAGTTGGCTAGAGTGTCAGGGCGCCAATCCCGAAGACGTGGGTTGTGGGTTCGATTCCTACTACGGCCAGAAACTTTTCGTTCTTTTTTTCTACAAAAATGTTTAATCTTAAGTGCAGAGATTAGTACCATAAAAATTTAAATTTGTAAACAATCATGTTCATCTTGAGCATACTTATTTTAATATAAAATTGTTTTACTTGGAGTTTTGTAAAAAAAGTGGATAAACGTAACTGGCGGAATTAATTTCTTGCTATCCTAATCAAGCATAATTTGTTATTAACAATATGTGGAAAGTTATCTGCTTATATCAAAGAAAGAATTAAACAAACCTTGTGGAATCTCTTCCTCATTCTATGTTCAATCACAGATACTGGGTATTCCAGCGAGATTCTGCACCACCTCATAGATAGAGCTAAAACACATAAAACTGGCAGGTGTATAAAATAACCAATACGAAAACTGGCCTCCAGTCTAAACTTTAATCCATTGGGTATAATATATAAAATATGAACGTTTAAATTTTTATCTCGTTAGTACGATACTTATAATAACGGATTTCAATGGTTTGCATATCGATGTGAAATAATATTTAAAATAAATTAGTCAAAACTAGGTCTTATTCCCATAGTATAAATGTTTGTTACCAGTACGAAATTATGATGGCCAAAACTAACCGAACGGGATTTTATTCGTTCGATGGAACAAATAAAATCCCGTTCGATGCATCACTTTCTATCACGTGTGGCTCATCAGCCACCATCATAACGGACAAAATGTTTTGGCTATGAAACGTTACAGTTATTTATTATGTTTGTACAGTTTTTGTATATAACAGATATCAACGTTTTGTATATCGATAACACTTTATATAACGCGTAACCGTTTCCGGTTACGTTTTATACATCGGACACATAGCCTTCATTGTATATATTAACAGTGTAAAGTAAACTTTATGCAAGTTGCGTAATTATGGTCAAGTCTTTTTGGATTATTAGGTCTTTACCGTAAAGTGCAACGTTTCCGCGTTGCCATTTTTATCCGAGAAGTTGATATGCGAGCCTTAATTTACTGGATGTTAAATAAGTTTCATCTATAACTCCATTAGGGTAGATATGTGTTTGATTTTTCTTCGTTGATAACAGTTCGTTATTATCTATCTGATATTAATAGGTAATTAAAAAAATGCATAAATAATTAATCTGTGGTATAATATAACATCTATCGATTTGAGTATTGTCTGTTTTGCTTGCATATACTATTGCTGTCAAATTGATGTTATTGTATTGATATTGGGCTGGGCTAATGAATAGAATTTGTTGCAGTTTATCAAGTTACTGAAACTTTACAATTCCTTAAGGTTTAAATATTTTTAAAATCTATGACATAAGGTGTTGTTAATTGTGTGTATTTAAAAAAAAAATTATTTCAATTAGTATTTTCAATAAATTTTAGTATACGTACTTATCGTTATAACTTAACTTATAAACTTACTAAAATACATTAAAATCATGTCTGTTAGTGAGAAAGTGTCTCTGTCGGACGCATTAAGCAATGTAGACGTCCTGGATGAACTCACTTTACCAGGTTTGTTACATATTACTCACGCTCACACGCATAAGTTCTGTTTCCTTCACATCCGCCAATTACTGTTGAATCTTGCGAAAACTCATTCATAACATTGTTCCTTTTGATTTTGTTTACGTTTTTATTGTGAATTAAATATTTGCACAAATTACTTAGTATAATTTACAAGGAAGAAGTAAAAATAATTGTATTTTACTTTAATTTTAAACTTCTACCTATATAAGATATCTGAAATGTTTATACCAAAACTGAAGCGGTGGTAAACAAATAGAAGTTAGTTAACTTGTCTACAACTCCTAGATATAGAGCATATGCATTTGGTAACACCCAACACTTTGTTATTGAAATTACATTGCTTCTTTAATTATAACAACGGTGGTAGGGCCACGCAGCAGCCTCGGCTGCTGCACGAATGGGCTGCAGGCTTGTCCGTGCAAGTACCACAACCTCACAGAAGACCGGCGTAAAGTGGAAGTATAATAATTTCGTTTTGTCTTGTGAGTGGGGTGCCCGGAGCCCAATTTTCAAAAGGTTGTCAGTGCATCTGGTACCCTCGGGTGTAGCAGCGGGCGGCGGTATCACTTAACATCAGGTGAACTGTTTGCTTGCTTGAAAACTTTTCACATAAAAAAAACATAATTTGTGAGACGAAGTAGCCTACTTTTCAGATCACCTGAATTGTTTTGTTTTTTACATTGATTTTTTTTCCTTTTGCTTGTTTGTTCTATTTTTAACATTATTTTGTTATGTGCACATTCATTATCATTTGCAATTTAGCTTGTACACTATAGGGTCTGGTAGAGAGCTAATACATTTGAATACCAAAATTTAATTGTTAACAATGAATCTGATAGCTTTGCAACCTTAGTTATCTCAAGTGCAAAAATTAGCACTATAAACAATTTAAATTTCTAACCTAAGTTAGTCTTTAAAAATGCTTGAACCAAAAATTTCCCACAAATTTTATTACGTTTAAGTTAAATTTAATATCTCATTCATTTGGTTATTGTACTACAGATGAGCAGCCGTGCATTGAAGCAGCACCATGTTCCATATTATACCAGGCTAACTTCGATACCAACTTTGAAGATCGCAATGGTTTTGTCACCGGTATCGCCAAATACATTGAGGAGGCTACAGTACATGCTAACTTGGTAATGTGTACTTTATAGAGCTTTTTATGAATTGTTTCAGTTGTGGTACACTTAGCAAGTTGTCCAAGTGTTCCGTTTTGTTCTGAATGGCATACAGTCTGTCTAATTTCTGGTAGGGTTATTGGAAATGCTTCTGTGATAACTTTTTATATTTATCGGTCATAATTTTGACAACCCAATTAGCGTAATGCGTTGTGAACCTGCCTCTTGCACCAGAGGGTGTATGTTTGAACGTGTATGTTGTACGGGTGTAGTGTTTTTCCAGTGTCTGGGTGTTATATATGTTTAATTAATAAGTATTTTTTACAAAATAAAATCTAGTTCCCATAGCCTTGATTGCTCAGTGTCTGGGCGCTCGCCTTTAATTCAATTCACTCGAGCAACCTGAGTTCGATTCCCGGTGCCATCACCAATGAAATTGTTAATTTTAAGTGCTGACTCATCACTTGCTTGGCGGTGAAGAAAATCATCGTGAGGAAACCTGCATATTTTCGAAATAATAACAAAAAAAAATATTTCGAAAACATGTGAAGACCGCTAATCCGCAGTGGGGTCGCATGCTGGACTATGCCCTGATACCCTCTGTACAGAGGAGGCTGTTGCCCAGCAGTGGGACTTTTATAGGCTTTTAATTTACTTTACTACCCATAGTTCAAGCATTGCTTACTTTGGGACTTACTCAAAGATTGTGGTGTTAAAATGACTTCTAAAATATTAAAATGACAATACTTCTCATTACAAATTGAATTATGTTTACGGCACAGTTGCCAAGGTTTTGGGTTCGGCGCTGGGGATCGTGGGTTCGATTCTCTCATGGGACAACTATTTATAATGTAACCCATAGGTAGAAATTTGATTTGGTCTGGGAATTTGTCCACATGAAATTTAAGAATGAGAAACATCCTTGCAAAGCTAAAGTTAAGACTTACAAATACTGCATTTTTTTTTATTGAATCCCCGACGTTTTAATGCTTATCAGGATTTAAAATTAAGGGTCAGTGTGACCATGTATGCTAATAATATTTAATAATTTTACATTTCCCATATCTTTAAATGCGATGGAGTATTGTTGTCACCGCGGCGTATTTATCAAGGTATTGGCTTCGGCGTCGGGGGTCGTGGCTTCGATTCCCACACGGGACAAATATTTGTGTTGCCCACACACAGATAGTTGTTACGCATTGCATTTTCGGTGTTTGTCCACTTGAAATTTATGTATGTAAAACGTATCACTACAACACAGGATATGTTTATCAAGATATCTATACAACACTGGTTAAGGCGCTGTATGCAGTAAAAATAGGTTTTTCAAAAGATTTTTTAGCAAAATCTACACATTTTATAGCAGCAAAAAAAATATATGTTAATCTTGATCGTACATTCTAAGGGAACATTGTTTCCAAAACATATTCTCGATATATTTTCTCGATAGAAAAAAATCATGAAACTACCTCTAAAAGAGAAATTCAAAACCAAAAATGAATGTAATACATCAACAAATCTTAATGAAATTAATATCAGTGGTGTAGAATATATATTAATAAAAAGGATTGTTGTTTTAATTTGTTGATTGATGTAAGATTTCTAAATATTAATTTAATTCATTAAAATTAATTCGAACGCGATGGCCAAAACACTGCGCCACCGCGGCGTTGTTTCGGCTCTCTTCCAACTCCACACGTTCAACAGAGAGCGCTGAGGCGCCTTGCTAGATGGGTCTATGCCGCTCGTCTTCCGCTCACCGTTACGAAATATGTTCCGTATTTATTTATTATTGAGGGTTATAATTTTATTAGATCTTTCGAAAACACGAAACTAAAAAAATATATATTCACATATTTCGTATTTTTAATTATTTGTATGAATTAACAACTAAAGCGTAATTTTTTCAATATCTTATCTTGTCATTGATAAGTTTATCAGTCCTATACAAACAGTGTAAAGGCAGGGATGCCAACTTAGGAATGTTCTTCCGAAATTTAGGAATAAAAAATGTTGAATGGAAGTTTATTGGGAGGTAAATTTTTATGGGAATATTTTTTTAGGAGTTAAATTTTATTCACATTTTCGAAAAAAACTACACAAAACAACTTATTTAAAAAAAATTCAGTGCCGTGCTGCTTTGGATGACGTCAGGCCAAGGCCTATGTGTCTGGTATGAATATTTTATGTATTCTAATAAATTTTTTTAATATCGTTTTGATTTTATTCTTAACATATTCAATACAAATGAATTATGTTATATTTGATGTTCTTGACCATGGTTTATTTTATCAGATAATTATTTTGCTTTTTCCTAAAATATAAAAAAAATCCTGATTTTAAATTTAGAAATTTTTGTTTGAATTTAATAAATTTTAGTCGGTTTTCGAATTGTTTTAGGAGTATTATTTTTGAACAGTTGGTAACACTGTGTAAAGGACCATCATTCTATAGGGATTGGGTTCAAATCCCTACATTTTTCTTTGTTATATTTTTTGGTGATTTTCTTTTTGTAGGTATTTTTTTTAATTTACCATTTAAGTTTTGTTGATTTTTTTATTTTTATAAATAATTACAACGAATTATTATTGTATTTGTTGAACGTAGAACGCAACAGTTGGAGAACAATCTATCAGATAATAAACCAAGTTTTCATTATTTAAAGTTTTTAACAAGTATTATATTGTATATTGTTTTTAATTTGTTTTATTAAAATATTTAATTTTTCACCCTAAAACGAAAACTATTCTTTTACGAACACGAAAAATAATTGTGTATAATTTTTGTACTTTCCACATTTTATCAAATAACAACAAAATAATTAATTGATTAACAAATTAAAATTGGAAAAAGATGTATCAACCATGACGCTCGGACCAATAGGCTACACGATGTAAAATTGTTGTCGTTTATCGATATAAGGAATTTTATCGATAATTTTTTAAATATAATTTCATTGAGGAATTAATATAACGTAGTAAATCTTTCACATTTAAAGAATAAATTAAAGATATAAAGTTTAAGAAAATATGTAATAAAAAAGTCGTATTCGTAATTTCTGCCGTGGAGACTATGAAATTGCGTAATTAAACTTTAAATCAAAATAAATAATTAATCGTTTATTTATTGTTTTGTTGTAAGAAATGTCATTTGCCTTTATTAATTTATTTGACCTTAAGATGTATTTTTAAAATAATAATTAATAACTGATAATTTAAAATAATTAATAGGAAGTTTTTCTAAAATAGTTGATTGCTTTCTCATACTTTATATTTGTTTGTTTCTTATTATTCCTATAATAATATAAAAGTAAAGTACAATCATGGTCTATAAAAGATGTTATAGAGATCATCTGTGTACGTTTTCGAAAGCCTTCCATGATACTATCGATAGTGTCCTACGGCCCATCATTACACACTAGGTAATGAATGGTCTAGCGGCGCGTCGACGAAACTCGCGCGCTGCGCGCCGCTAAGCGGCGTTACCCCTCCTCCGCTTCCTCATCCTTCACCACCCAAATAGTTAAAAATTCACTGCATATAGCGCCTTAATGTTCTCCTAAAGCAATGGAAATGTTTTATTTAAAAAAAAAAGCAAAATATGCCAAAACATGAGAGATGCTGGATATTCGTAAGAGAGAGAGAGAAAGAAGAACGATATAGTACCAACTACAAAACTTTAGAATTATTGTCGTGCATGTTCGTAAATTTATAAGACATGTTATATTTAAACTAAGTTATTCCACGCATTGTATCAATATTTAGAAATAGACAATTAGGTTTTAGTTATCACTTCTGCACATGCAACATGATATTTGATTGCAAGAAGGCATTCATCTGTTCTATGTTGCAGAACGAACTCCTGGAGGAGGGCAACGCCCACGCCGTGATGCTTTACACCTGGAGGTGTTGCAGCAGGGCCATACCGCAGCCCCGTTCCAACGAGCAACCGGACAGAGTGCACATATACGAGAGGACTGTGCAGGTGTTGGCGCCGGAGGTTGACAAGCTGCTGCAGTTCATGTACTTCCAGGTGGGACTCTGCAGGAGTCGGCAGATGTGAATAAAAGAATGCCGATCAAATCACTATCGAAAGTATGAATACTATCGTATTTATTTCGGTGAGTGTGATGACTCCGTGTCGCAGTTCCCAAGGTATCGGCTTCGGCGTCGGAAGGTATGGATTCGATTCCCACCCGGGAGGACTAGAGTGCGAAATGAGCAGTGTAATGAATACGGGAAGTGTAAACATCTGCTGATCCAATATGTCTGTCACCGTCGTTTCTGTGTATTAATAAATGTTTCCTCTGCTCCGGTACATCTACTCAAGTAGTCACGCAAAATATACACAGGTTTTAAAAGTTAGCTTCTGATAATCACCTGGAGAACAAACCAAAACCAAATAAAATGGCGCACGAAGGTTTCCGCTCCATTATCTATAAAAACAGAAAAAAAATATGTATGTTGCATAAGCGCCCCACTTAAGTTGTAACAGCAGCAATAGCAGCAACAGACATTGGACATCACCTGTGAAAATATCAACTATCAAACTGTCACGGTTCATGAAATACAGCCTGGTGACAGACGGACGGACAGAGAGACACAGACAACGAAGTCTTAGTAATAGGCCTCTTTGGCTTCGATCACCACAGCGGCCACGATCTTTTCGTACGTTTTGTACAAATGTTAATAATACTATTTCTTTACCGTCTGTTTTATGGGAAGTAGTCAAGTTATGCTGGAAAGCTATCTAACCAGAGCTTAACACTGTGCCCTGTGAAAGCTCTGTAACCTTTAAGCTCTGTAAGCTTTATGTAGTCTATGTACTATATCACACAGTTTCAGTTACATGTTAATGAAAAGCGTTAGTATACCTATAGTTTCATTCCATTTGGAAGCATGTCTTGCGTAAAGTATAGTACCTGGAGGACCTGGAGGTGTTTTTTTTTTTTTTGGTAAATCGTGTATTTTGGAAATTAAATTTTGATACAAATTACTGAGTAATGAAATATGCATATGTTTTGGGGCCACCCGATTAAATTGTATATATATACAATTTAATCGGGTCATATATACAATTTAATCATGTATATATATATATATATATATATATATATATATATATATATATATATATATATATACATGAATTGCTCGTTTAAAGGATAAGAATTAGAGTTTTAAGTTCCAAACTCTGCCACAATTATTAAAGAATAAAATAAAATAAACTCTTAAAACTGCCACGCAGCGCAAAGCGATCGAGAGGTTCTGCGGCGAAGTGAGACGCCTCTGCCACGCGGAGAAGCGGCGCGACTTCGTCTCCGAGGCGTACCTGCTCACGCTGGGCAAGTTCGTGAACATGTTCGCGGTGCTCGACGAGCTCAAGAACATGAAGAGCTCGGTGAAGAACGACTACTCCACATACAGGAGGTGAGCTCTGGGGCGTGGGATGAGAAGGTGGACAGCGAGCAGTTCCCCAATGGTGTGGGTACGGATGAAAGAGTTATTGTAGTTTTTTTTTTGTGAGAGGATGGCAAGCGAGCTGGCAGTTCACCTGAAGCTAAGTGATAACCGCTGCCCATGGACATTTGCAACACCCCTAAGTTGCAGATGTGTTGCCACCTTTTAATAAAGTAGGTCCTAGATACTTCACTCACCAGACGAAACGCAGAAGTATAAACACTTCCTCTTCACGCCGGTCTTCTGTGAGGTCGCGGAACTTACCCGGACCTGCCCATTAGTGCAACAACGAAGACTGTTGCGTGGTGAGTACCTCAGTTGCAATGTTTGGATGGAAGTTGATGTTAATATCTATGTCCCCTTTAATGGGCTTTAGTGTTAGTGTTTGATGAATTTAACCGATTTTTCCTTGTAATACTGTTTTGGTCTGCCGAACGCCGCACCCGTATGCTCCTGTCTAGATATTAAATAATAATAATAATAATAAAAATAATCCCATAAAAATAAATAATTTATTTTGAAAAGAAACATTGTTTGCTGCGACATATGTTCATAATGCTTATAACATTTAAGATAACTTAGCTGAAACAAAACGGGATTTGCCGCCTTTATGTCGAAGCGATTCGAAATGACCTTGTCAATTTTGCCAACGTCCCACATTCCAGGGCCGCCCAGTTCCTGAAGGTGATGGCTGACAGCCAGAGCCTGCAGGAGTCGCAGAACCTCTCGATGTTCCTGGCCACCCAGAACAAGATCCGCGACACGGTGAAGGACGCCCTGGAGAAAATCAACGGTGAACTCTCAAGCGTTCATTAACGGCTTACACTACTGTTTAACACTCAGAGACATCAATTAGCATCTGATAAGTAATAGTTGATGTACTAAGTTCAGTTGTTCGACTTATTGATACGAGTCCAATCGACGCGTAAACGAATTTAAGTATTAAGTTTATTATAACACCCGTATATTATTTGTCTCATTGGTGGGCATAGGCCTCGATTGGACATAACTGTGTATTAAACTTCATATTATCTTTCTTCATTGTAGGCTTGTTTTAAAAAGAAAATAATATCTTTTTTCCACAGTTTCTTGCCGGTTTTTGTCTTAGATTGCACAATTTCCTTATTTTTGCTTCTACTAAAAGGCAACAATAGCAAAAATAATTTATATACCAGAATGTAAGTTGGTTTACTTATTAACATCTTAGTGTATATGACAAGGTCAGTGATATCAGTCTTTAATTAGAAGACTTGTTAATAAGTTCATTTAGGAGCGGTTGATACTATAATAATTTAAATAAAGCTTTTTGTTTTCTCTTATGGGATAAGGCCTTCCCCTGATGTTATGCAAATACCACTTCCCATAGAAATCTCACACTTGTGGAGTTTCTGTTGCATTGCCAACCTTTTAAACAAAGGCCCCATATAGGAAAATCTCCAATCAGAAACACACAGGTGCCAATACTTGGCATAAGTCTCCTTTGGGCTCTTCGGACTGGCCTTTTAGCAACAGTGGCAGCCGCTGCATGGCTCACGGCGAACTGTTATTTTACCCTTCATTTGTATTTCTCACAGGATACGAGGATCTTCTGGCTGATGTAGTGAACATCTGCGTGCAGATGTTTGAAACAAAGATGTATTTGACACCGTCTGAGAAGCACATGCTAGTCAAGGTGGGTTCGGTTTATGGCTTTTCCCCCACATTGTATGGGGAGCTGTATCTGTTACCACAAATGTCCCAATACCACCCATTCTTACCACCCAATAATGGATATTCTCTCTCCAGGTTATGGGCTTCGGTCTGTTCCTCATGGACTCCGAGGTGTGCAACATCAACAGGCTGGACCAGAAGAAGAAGATACGCCTGGACCGGATCGACAGGATCTTCAAGGTGAGTTTTTTTTTTATGTTAACAGTTGTCAAGCGATCTGGCGGTTCACCTGATCTTAAGTGGTTACGCTGTCATGGACATCTACGACTTTTTTTTATTTTTATCTTATGCGAAAAGTTGTCAAGCGAGCAGACGGTTCACCTGATGTTAAGTGAATACCGCCGGCCATGGACATCTGCCACACCCGAGGGTTACAGATGCGTTGACAACCTTTTGAAAATTGGGCTCCGGCTACCTCACTCACCAGACGAAACGCGAAAGTATTTGTCATACTTCCACTTTACGCTGGTCTTCTGTGAGGTCGTGGTACTTACCCGGACGGGCCTGTCCATTCGTGCAACAGCCGAGGCTGCTGCGTGGCCCTACCACCGACGCCCGACGTATTGCAGATGCGTTGGCAACATTAAAAACGTGGGCCCAGGCTAACTCAGACATCAGATGAAACGCGTAAGAATAGTGTTGCTTTGCAAGTCTGGTCGCCACGAGTGAAACAAATTATTCATTTAATCTATCTATACTAATAAATGGAGAGCCGATTGTTTTGTTCGGTTATACTGCGAAAACTACTAAACCGATCGGAATAATACTTATATACCAGAAGATACGCTGCATCTGTTTAGGAGAAGTTTGTATCGTACTACTACAAATGTAACAATGTTATTCATACTATATTATTAAATTCGGTTAGTCTGATGATATTTTCCTAGATTTTTAAATTAACATATATGCCATTTTGATTATAAAGAACTTTTTGTTTTGTGGTAGTCATCTTAAAATAATTATTAAGTTATCATACATCTCTATATATATATATATATAATTCTTCTGTGCGTGTGTATGCCATTGAACTCCTCCTAAACGGCTGGACAGATTTTAATGAAATTTTTTTTGTGTCTTCAGGTGGTTTCGAGAATGGTTTAGATTCACTAACTTATTCAAAAAATTTGTAATTTTCGGAATTAAGACGTGTGTAGAGGACGTCTGTACGGTCCGCTACTGATTTATAATAATTGTTCACTGTGTGTGTTGCATATACATATATCCTATTATTTTAAATAGGTCTGTATGTTACCCATTCGTTCCAGAATCTCGAGGTGGTCCCGCTGTTTGGCGATATGCAGATAGCTCCGTTCAATTATATCAAGCGGTCGAAGCACTACGATCCCAGCAAGTGAGTAGAAATAAATCTCATACGTCATCTACTTTACCGTGAACTTATTGTCAACATTTTTTTTTAATTCCATCATTACAGGCGTAGGCAAGAGTTTTTTTAAGACTGAGTGGTGTATTTTTTTGAAATCTTTTGCAAAAAGATGCCCTACATTTTTAGGGTTCCGTATACGAAGGGTAAAACGAGGCCCTACTACTAAGACTGCTGTCTGTCTGTCCATCTGTCACCAGGTAACTCATGAACTCTGATAGACAGTTGAAAATTTCAGAGATGATGTATTTCTGCTGCCGCTATAACAACAATAGATAATGGTACGGAACCCTTCGTGTGCAAGTTCGACTCGCACTTTGCTTTTTTTATCTTGCTCCCACATTGAATTTACTTTACAATCCTTATTATAGTAAATCTAATGACGAGTGAGACAAGGATAGCAGTAGACCTTAAGAAAGAGACAACCAGTGATTTATCCCAATTCATCATGATCAGCAATTCTGCCCTAAATGTGCCTAAGTGTGGTCAATACTCCATGTCAATCATGTTATTAGTTGTATTGACTTTTTTTTATATAATGGACTCTCAACACAACACAACAACAACTCAACAACTCTGGTTGGGATTTGTTCCCTATACAGAACTATTATCTGTGGGGTCACACAATTACTTGTCTTGTATGGGAATCGAACCCACGACGCCGAAACCAACATCTTGGCAACTGTGTCATGGAGTCATCAAGGCAGCGAGATGCAATCTAGCTGTCTTTTTTCATCTGCAGAAGCCGCAATAGGTCATTATCCGGGCGCTCGCCTTTAATTTTTTATAATAATAAATAAATATTTTTTTTTAATAATAAATAAATAAATTTATATAAATAATTTTTTTCTTTGTGTATTACTGTCTTACTGGGTATAATTGGTTTTATGGAATTGTTAGCTTTTATTTTTTATATTTTCTTTCGACTATTTTATATTTTTTGGCAACACTATCGCAGCCTGTAATGATAGTTGTGTGCGTAAGTGTAATAAATAAATAAATAAAAAAAAATTCAATATACTCAAGCACCCTGAGTTCGATCCCCGGTGCCGGCACCAATGAAATAGCTAATTTTAAGTGCTGACTTATCAGGTGCTCAGCGGTGAAGGAAAACACGCGAGAAAACCTGCATATTAAAACAACATATACCAATTGAATTTTGTGCTTGGTTGTTACTGAAATGCAAGCTTAATATGTATTGGTCTGTTATAATTTAGTCATTATAATTTGTGTTTTGTAACGGCGCCGAATAAATAAATAAATAGTGAAGCCCTGTGAAGTCTCTAATACCCACTGTTCAGAGGAGGCCTTTGCCCAGCAGTGGGACATTTAAAGTTTTACTTTGCTTTTTTCGTCATTAGTTAGTGGACACAACCCAACAGCTGTAACTTTACTTTTTTATTTTTTCATCTTTGGATAGCGGACTCATCGTGACTCCTTCCTCTCTCTCTTTCAAGATGGCCGCTCTCCTCCAGCCCCAATCCGCTGTCGCCCCAGGCCGACCTGATGGTCCACCTGCCGCAGATAAGGGAGGAGCACCAGAACTACATATCCGAACTTGCCAGATACAGCAACGAGGTATGCTTTCTTATTTATTTTTTACATTATTTTAGCAAATATGTTTTGAAATCTATCCGTCCTTTTATGAATTCTTGTTTGTTCTGTTCTCAATGTGGGGTGTTGGGTTTTTTGCTTTGAAACAAATGAAAAAGATTTTTTTTTATTTTTGGTTTATTATAAGAAAGGTGCAAGCCGACCACAGTCATACTTGTAACTTAATTTGGATTTTTATTTTATCTAAGAAGATGGCAAGCGGTTGACCCGATTTTTAGTCAACACCGGCGTCCATGGACAGTAGCAACACTCTTGGAGCTGCAGATACTTTGCACCTCATCTTTTAATATAATAGAGCACCGGCTAACTCACTCACCAGACGAAACGCAGAAGTGTTTTTAATATTACTCTTATCACTTCGGGGCTCCCTTACAACAGACATGACTTTTTTTTTGCCGTTTCTATAGACAATGCTACGGAACCCTATGCGCGCGAGAGCCCAACCAGCACTTGGCCGGTTTTCAATGTTACTTTTATCGTTTCCAGGTGACGACGACGTTCAAGGAGGCGGGCTCGGACGCCGAGAATAAGGCGGTGACGGAGCTGTGCCTGCGCGGGCTGCAGCTGCTCTCCTCCTGGTGCTCGGTGCTCACAGAGCTCTGCTCCTGGAAGCTGCTGCACCCCACGGACCACACCGTCAACGCGCGCTGCCCCCCCGACGCGGAGGAGTACGAGAGGGTGCGGCCATCGACAGAAACCGAAACACTGAAAATTCATCGCACCTGCAAAGCACCACCGGCTGCTTTTGAACCACGCCAATAATTAACTATGCCTGCAAACGAACACCATCTGCCTTTAAACTAAACCAACAATTTACACCTCTGCAAAAAACTACCGACTGCTTTTAAACCACGCCAACAATTCACTACCCCTGGAAAGCTCTACCACCTGCCTATAAATCACGCCAACAAATCACTACCCCTGGAAAGCTCTACCACCTGCCTATAAACCACGCCAACATTTCACTACCCCTGGAAAGCTCTACCACCTGCCTATAAATCACGCCAACAAATCACTACCCCTGGAAAGCTCTACCACCTGCCTATAAACCACGCCAACAATTCACTACCCCTGGAAAGCTCTACCACCTGCCTATAAATCAAGCCAACAATTCACTACGCCTAGAAAGCTCCATCACCTGCCTATATATAAACCACACCAAAAATTCACTACCCCTGCGAACGACTTCCACCTGTCTTTAAACCATGCCAAAAATTCACTACCGCCGCGTTGAAGCATTCCTATATGCCGTGAAAATAAGGAAAAAAAGTATTAAAGAGAGTGTATTGTCTGAAATCTCAATCTCCCTGTCCCGTTCCTCGAAATGATCATCTCCATCAACCTTATTAACCATTACACCATCGTTGAATCTCTCACCTACAAGATATATTCCTATGTATTTATTATGTACATTTAAGTATCGCTTTGTTTTAAAACTCGCAACATTGTATCGGGAAGAAGAGTTGACCTTATGTACTATGTACACACCTTTATTACAAGTCCCCATAGCCAATGAACATCTTAACCAAAAAAGTTGTGAGTGCGTTTCCAGCCATTAAAATGGCAGGCGTGCAGCTACACACGGATGAAACGCTACCGCATAATCACTTCTACTTCACGCAGTACTCCCCCGATTTGTTCTATATTTATGTTTGTATCCTACGCAAAAAACTGTCTTAAACACTTTTCTCTAAGCGACAACTGCCAGGTGATGTTTTTTAAATATAAAATCATCAACAAAAAAACTTCCAATATTAGCATGTCCTGCATTAAAACATCCAGTCTCGCTGCCCATAGACACACAACACTTTGGATTCTGGAGACTTCCCCGATTAGAGCCGTGATAGCTCTTGGTACTGGCACTCGCTTTTAACCCAATATACCCGAACAACCTGAGTTGCCCAGGAGCAGGACATGTACAGGCTGTCGCTTTACTTTAATTTAACCCCCACCCCTCCCCCCCGCAGGCCACCCGCTACAACTACACGTCGGAGGAGAAGTTCGCGATGATCGAGGTGATCGCGATGATCAAGGGCCTGCAGGTGCTGATGGCGCGCATGGAGACGGTCTTCGCGGACGCGGCGAGGAGGTCGATATACGCGGAGCTGCAGGACTTCGTGCAGCTGATGCTGCGCGAGCCGCTAAGGAAGGCGATCAAGAACAAGAAGGACCTCATTCGCAGGTGGGAGAGAGGGGGAGGTGGGGGGGGGGGTGGTCTTTATGTGAAAATGCAGCAAATGAGCCGGTTGTTCACCCGATGTTATGTGATAATGGCCGTTGCAGATGCGTTGCCACCTTTCAGTAAATTAGGCCCCGGCTACCTCACTCACTAGACGAAGGCAGAGCTGGGCTCCCGTCATTTCCAGCCCTCACCAGCATGTTAAGTTGGTATTTTGGTCCACTCCATAGTATAATAGAATTCTCGAGGCGAAAGAACTGGAAATAAAATCAATTACTACTGTTACGTTTCACCGCAGAAACGAACCGCTCGCGCGCGTTAATAAATTATATTAGAGTGGACGCCATTTGTATTCGCACGCCGATTATGGCGATGTGAGTGTTTTAATGAATTGGTGCGTCTGCCCGTCAGCATCATAGTGTCGGTGCGCGAGACGTGCGGCGATTGGGCGCGAGGCTGCGAGCCTCAACAGGACCCGGCTCTGCGCGGGAAGAAGGATGCCGACGCCAGTTTCACCATCAAGGTGCCGCGTCGCAACGTCGGTGAGTTCAGTTCGACGTGACCGGCATACCAAAATGTTCCGCGTGTTTAAATGTTCCCAATACAGATTTGTTTCGCGTGTTTGAATGTTCCCAATATCGATTTAATCCATATATCAAAATGTTACGCGTGTTTAAAAGTTCCCAATATCGAGTTCTTCCATATAACGGAATGATCCCATATCTAGATATTCCACATACCAAAATGTTCCGCGTGTTTAAATGTTCCCAATATCGATTAGTTCCATATACCAAAATGTTACGCATGTTTAAAAGTTCCCAATATCGAGTTGTTCCATATAACTGAATGATCCCATATCTAGATATTCAAAATGTTCCGAGCTCTGTGCCATGTAGCATCCCTCCATCCATAATTGCATCAGGTTCCGTGCTCTCAGATTACGAGAAAGTTACAAGCTTGTTGTTAATAACTATGCCACGTTAACACATCAAAAGCTATGGGAGTATTTTGTGACAGGATCGTGGTTCACCTGATGTCAAGCATTCACCGCGACCTGTGGACATCCAAAAGCATTAAAAGACCGGGCCCCGGTTACCACACTCACCAGATGAATGTAAATGTAAATGCAGAATTATAATATTTCTACTTCAGGCCGGTCTTCCGTGAGGTCGAGGTACTACCCCGGACGTCGCACAACAGAAAAGACTGTTGTTAAGCACTAACACACTTTTTTATGTGAGAAGGTGTCAAACGAGCTGGCGGTTCACCTGATGTTAACTCATAACCGCCACCCATTGAAAATAACAACACCCGTAGATTTGCAGAGGCCTTGCCACATCTTAATTAAGTAGGACCCGGCTAACCCGGACGGACCTGCCCATTCGTGCAACATCGAAGACTGCTGCGTGGCCCTACCACAGCTACACAACCATTTGTTATTGCAAGTGGGCAGAATAGTTGATATTTAAGCTAAATAAATAAAACATACTATGTGGCCCTACCGCAGTGAACATATATTACAAGTCTCTCCTTCTAATAGTATGTTTCGTCTCTTTTAAATTCATTCAACCCATTCATATGCTTTGTGACCTTTACAAATGAACTTTACGTTACAGTTTTATACGTAAGGGTGTTCTAAAATTGTTTGTTTTGCAAAATTTAATAACTCTGTAAATATTGACGCTTAAAGAAATGTAAATGCTTAATACAATTTTAAAAAGTTATCCTCTGTATGTGTGTTCATTTATTGTCGCGGTGGTAACGACACGCTGTATACTTTCCGTTTGAAAAACTGCTGTCCGCCCAGGTCCCTCATCCACCCAGCTGTACATGGTCCGCACTCAGCTGGAGGCCCTCATATCGGACAAGTCCGGCGGCAGACGGACCCTCAGAAAGGACCTGGACGCGACAACCCTCACCCAGATCGAGGCGTTCCACCGGCAGAGCTTCTACTGGGGCTACATGCTGAACCTCTCAGGTTGGGAAGAGATAGACAGAGAGAGAAAGAATAATCCTTACTAATATTATAAAGGCGAAAGTTTGTACGTATGAATGTATGTTACTCTTTCACGCGAATACTACCGAGTGGATTCTAATGAAACTTTACAATGACATAGCTTATACATCAGAATAACACATAGGCTGTAATTTATATACATATTTTATGTATATCTGTCTTTCTGTCTTAATGTTACACCTTCAGCCTGTTCTATGCGGACGTAGTCGCGGGCAGCAGCTAGTGTTAAATAGAACAATTTTGACTCTTTGTTTCATTTCCATTGTTTGACGACGCGATTGGCGTAGTGGGTACTGCCTGTCGCGTGGTGTGGGTTCGATCCCCACTACTGGAAAAATATTGTGTTATGAACATAATGATTTTCCAGTGTCTGAGTGTTTATATATTTATAATATGTATTTATTTATCATAGAAAAGTATATTTAAGTATGTTTATCAGTTACCTTAAATAAAATTAAGCAGATGATTCTTTTGACGCGCGGATGAGTTGTAAACAATGAAGTCGAATCAACAGTGTGAATAGGACAACTTAATGTATTTCTAGGAAAGGCACTGTTCATTTAAATAACACGGCAACAGGTAATTGTCTGACATAACACAATTTATGCAACTAATTATTTTAACTATCCAACCTTAATAAATACATATTTTGTGAGATAATAGATACCGATATCAATTAAGTATGGATTGTTATTTCACAAATTTTAAAACATATATAACAAGTTGGTTATATATTTATTTACAAGATCTTTATTTATTTATTTAATTTTTATTTTACGGTTTCATTTAAAGAAGAATAAAGGGGTAGGAAGGAAAGATATTTATGTGATAGTAAGGAACGGACTCACTTTTTTGAATACTATAGTGCGCAATGATATTTTCCTTAACAGGCAGGTACGAGGTTTTGATGTTCAACCGACGGGGCCCCGTTGAATGCAGAATTTATTTTTCTACCTTATTTAACGTGTTTCTTGCGTTTGAATCTTGCGTTGTATGTTAAATCCGTGTAGAATGTGTATTCTTCTTGTCAATTTCGTTATATATAATGGCTAGAAAGCACACTTTGAATTCTCATGGAGATTTCCGTTGATCATATGTAGCAGGTGCGTTGATTTTATTCCGATGCATCCGAATTGTAGGACCATGAAAATGATTGTAGGAATTTTTGTCATTAAAAGAATTTCTTATATCTTACAATATTCTTCGCGTATTTGTATTAAAACAGTAAAGATTTAAAAAATAAGTTCTTATAGAACAATTTTTAAAAGGCGAAAGAACGACAAGTACGTTGAGCAAGTAACCAAGTATATGGAATAGTATATAACAGTAAAAAAAAAAAAGACGATGTTGCTAGCTTATGTTACATAGATTAAAAAATGTATACATCTCCACATAACACCTGGTACCCATAGTAGAATGTTGTGTAAAAATCTGTCCTGAAATGTTTATCTCTTTATTTATCCTTTCTTACTTTGATTTATCTTTATTTTTGAGGAGGTCTCCATTTCAGTTGTATTATATTATGTTTGTCAATGCTCCGTCAATCATAAAACGATTTGGAAAATTGTTTTTTTCTTGGGACGGTGTTATTTTCAAAGGCTCCTCATTATAATTTCATAGGCATAGGACCTTGGATTTCAAGGATGCCCCTGTCTTCAAGATCTAATAGAAAAAGTGTAGCGGATGAGATATTTTAACTCTGTTTTATTTTATATTTTTGTTCAAAAGATATTATATTATTGTGTCCTAATAATTTAAATTGTTTTCGATGCCCTAAGCTGGTCGTTGCGTCTTTCCTTAATGGCAATATTTTTTCTAGAACTTTTTGGTGAATCTCTTTTCAGACTCCCTTCAGAAGTGCTGCGACCTCTCCCAGCTCTGGTACCGAGAGTTCTACCTGGAGATGACCATGGGCAGGAAGGTCAATGTGAGTGTAAAATTTTGTTAAACCAAAAATTTTGTAAGGGAAAGAGAGATAGAGAGGTAAAAAGAGACGGTGATGGCCGTTGCAAGTTAGCAATATACTATTAGAAATTTAAATGTTTGTAATGCTAATTACTTCACTTGAGATGTTATTGACATTTCGTTAAACCAAACATTCTGAAATGGAGAGAAAGAGATAGAGATGTAAAAATGGAGTGGGATGGCATAGTTAGCAAAATGCTATGGATTATGGATTTTTTTTTGATTAGCAATTATGGATGAGGAATTTTTTGGTTGAGCTTGGATATAAATATAAATACAGAGTTTTCGTTTCGCAGAAATGCACCGTCCGCCACCAGCACAACGAGGAGTGCAACGACCTGGTCACCATGGAGAAGAGGATCCAGTTCCCGATCGAGATGTCCATGCCCTGGATCCTCACCGACCACATACTGCGCAGCAAGGAGCCCGCCATGATGGAGTGTGTATTACTTCCTCATCATACTGAGAGTCAAATTCACGCCTGAAACTTAGAATTTTACATGAAAATTTGATAGAAAGTTCGCAAGTAAGTTATCACCGATTCAGAATGCAGTTTCTGTTGAGAACGGACCATTGGGGACATTATCTATAAAAACGGCAAGAAAATCATAGCATTTGTATGGGAGTCCCAATTATATATTTTTTTAATTCTATTTTTTAGTATTTGTTGTTATAGTGGCGACAGAAATACATCGTAAATCGTTTGTAAATTTTCAACTGTCTTACTATTACGGTTCATGAGATACATCCTGGTCACAGACGGACAGACAGACAGATAGCTCAGTCTTAGTAATAGGGCCCCGTTTTAACCTTTTGGTACGGAACCCTAAAAAGTAAAAAAAATACTAACATGTAGCCTCCTTGGTATTTTTGATCTGGTATTGTATGTATAACTCTCATTGGCTTGCTGACCTGGTGTGGTCTTTAACCTGGTTGTAGGTGTGGTGGTCTCTCAATTCGCCTTACAATTAAGTGAACCAATTGCTAGAACCTTAAAGTAAAGAGATCGGTCGGCGTAGTGGATAGTGATCCTGTCTCTTACTCCCGAGGGTGGGGGTTCTATCCCCACTACCTAAATATTGTGTAATGAACACTGTTTATTCCAGTGCGTTTTATATATCTATCTATATGTACAAAAGAAAAGTATGTATAACCATGTTAATTAGTTACCAAGCATCCAGAGTCCGGAAAGTTAAAAAGAATAAGAATCCAAATTAAAAAAAATATCACAGCATCATCTTGTCCCAAACTAAGCGAAATTTACTATATTGTTTACTAGGAAAACAAATAAATATAATACACGTACGAACACAGATGTATGTTGTATTATTGGCTTAACTTAACTTTTTCTATTTCACTTTTTTGTTACTTACTGTACCCGTTGAATGCACGAAGAGAGAGAAAAAATATTTATGATTCCCTGTCTCGCTCTCTCCAGGTACGCCCTATACCCGTTTATCCGTACTCTCTGTACCCGTTGAATCCAGAGTATGATTCCCTGTCTCGCTCTCTCCAGGTACGCCCTATACCCGTTGAATGAATAAAGATAGAAAAAAAAACTATGATTCTCTATCCAGGTACTCTCTGTACCCGTTGAATGCACGAAGAGAGAGAAAAAATATTTATGATTCCCTGTCTCGCTCTCTCCAGGTACGCCCTATACCCGTTGAATGAATAAAGATAGAAAAAAAAACTATGATTCTCTATCCAGGTACTCTCTGTACCCGTTGAATGCACGAAGAGAGAGAAAAAATATTTATGATTTTCTATCTCGCTCTCTCCAGGTACGCCCTATACCCGTTGAATGAATAAAGATAGAAAAAAAAACTATGATTCTCTATCCAGGTACTCTCTGTACCCGTTGAATGCACGAAGAGAGAGAAAAAATATTTATGATTTTCTATCTCGCTCTCTCCAGGTACGCCCTACCCGTTGAATGAAATAAAGATAGAAAAAAAAACTCTCTATCAGGTACTCCTGTACCCGTTGCACGAAGAGAGAGAAAAAATATTTATGATTCTCTGTCTCGCTCTCTCCAGGTACGTCCTCTACCCGTTGGACCTGTACAACGACTCGGCCCAGTACGCGCTCACGGTGTTCCGCAAGCAGTTCCTCTACGACGAGGTCGAGGCGGAGGTCAACCTGTGCTTCGACCAGTTCGTGTACAAGCTCTCCGAGCAGGTGTACGCCCACTACAAGCAGCTCGCGTCCAGGTGGGCTGCACGGGTCATTTCCGTCAACGGCCGCCAGTTAGGGTGACCCCCGAGGGCGTTTCGATTGGTTTTTCGGTTTGACAAGAGGGAAAGTGTTCCAAATCAAAAATATCTTTATTCAAATAGACGCTTGCGCGTTCTTATGAATCAAAAGAAAAAAATTATACAGCGTGTCGTTACCATCGCGACAATAAATGAACACAGAAAAATTCATAATAAATTTTTTTAAAAAAAAACTAATTAAGTAAAAAAGAAACAAAATTTGTAACATCCTATACAACTACAACTGACTGATTCATACATTCAAAGATTTCATTCGTTGCCACCTTCGCATTACGAGCCCTCCTTTAACAAATGAACTCTTTTATTCATTCAACCCATTCATATGCTTTGTGACCTTTACAAATGAACTTTACGCTACAGTTTTAAACGTAAGGATGATCGAAAATTCTTTGTTTTGGAAAATTTAATAACTCTGTAAATATTGATGTTTAAAGAATATAAATGTTTAATACAATTTTAAAAAGTTATCATCTCTATGTGTGTTCATTTATTGTCGCGATTGTAAAGACACGCTGTATAGGGGATGTTACAAATTTTGTTTCTTTTTTATTTAATTAGTTTGTTTGAAAAATATTTTTTTTTATTAATGGTTTTTTGTAAAGTTTATATTTTTTTATGATTATTGGCAAGTAGAGTAAGGCGTGTGTTCATTTATTGTCGCGGTTATAACGACACGCTGTATATTGGTTTGTAAGGTACCACGTAAGGTGTTTACGTGATTTCGCCACCCGTGGACGTTTTACAAGTGAAAGGTCGCAGATGCTGTACCGACCTTCAAAAGAGTGGGCTATGAGTGTTATCTGTCATCAGGTGAAAGGCTAAGTACGAGACTTAAACTTCACGTCGGTCAGAAGATGCCATGTTGCTGTTTTATCTGAGAAGGTGGACCTGATGTTAAGTGATAACCGCCGCCCATGGACATTTGTAACACCCGTAGGGTTGCAGATGCTTTGCCACCTTTTAATAAAGTGGGCCCCGGATACCTCACTCACCAGACGAAACGGAGAAGTGTAACACTTCCACTTCACGCTGGTCTTCTGTGAGGTTGTGGTACTTACCCGGACGGACCTGCCCATCCGTGCAACAGCGAACACTGTTGCGTGGTCCTACCACACTTACCACTTCCGACTTCTCTGATAATTTGATGACTCCGTGACGCATTTGCCAAGATATCGGCTTCGTCGTCGGGGGCCGTGGGTTCGATTCCCGCACGGGACAACTATTTGAGTGACCCACAGATAGTTGTTCCGCATCTGGTTGTTTGTCCGCGTGAAATTTATGTACGTAGAACGTCCTTACAACACAGGATAATGTCATCCTAAAGTAAGGGCAATGTTTTTTTTTTATAAAAAAAAAATTAACCTCTGACCTCGTCTACGTCGTAGCATGCTGCTGGACAAGCGCTACAGGGCGGAGTGCGCTGCCCGCGGCGCCAGCACCGGCGGAGGGGCCGGCCGCTACGCGTCGCTGCTACGGCAGCGCCACGTAGCGCTCCTCGGCCGCCACGTGGACCTCAACGCGCTGGTGGGTGAGGGGTCCGGGGGCGGTGACCAATTTAACGGCGTTTAATGGACCAGTGAAGGCGACCCCCCATTGAGTGGGCGCATGACGATGTGAAAAGTAACAGCCTCTATTCAGTGTCATAATAGTATACAGAAAAAAAATTAAAAAAAATTGATGTTACTCGTGCCTATTTCAAAAATATAATTTTTGATGAAATGGCCCGGTTGTGGTTTGATGTTGACATCTGAGATAACCTGTATCCCACGGCTGGGCGAAGGTCTCCTCCTTACAGAGGGTATTAGGGCATAGTCCGTCACGGGACCCCTTTGTGGATTGGCGGACATGTACATGATAATTCAGTACTTAAAATAAACAATTTTATTGGTGTGCCGGGATTCGAACTCAGGGTTTTTTTTAAATGTATAACGATGGCAAACGAGTTGGTGGTAAGTTATAACCGCCGCCGATTAACATTTAAAACAACCATAGGGTTGCAAATGCGTTTGTCAAATTACCTAGTGATATAAAAAACACAAAATCTCTAGTCAGTTTTAAAAAAATCTTGAAAAGTTATATTTTAAAGGATTTTTCATTGATAAGGTCATAAACACATATGCTCATGGATACATAAATACACATAATATGTATGCATATATTTGCATTCATATGCTCACGAGTCCATTTTAATATATTTCATATACATAATTAATAGTCAATAATCTTAAGGCCACTATGTTATAGACCTAAGTAAACACCTTTTCTATTCCGAATATAGGTAATTACCGCTTAGTTGGAATGTACCACACGCTTTGTAATTCTTATGTATTTCTTTTGGAACTACCTTATGTTTCATCACTTTTTATTATAATTAGTCAATTAGCTTCGCCAGTGCGGAAATTTTTTGTTGTACGTAATATGGTATTTGTATTTGCTCTGTAAGTGATTTGGTGTAAATCTTTTGAGAAAATAAATGTCTTAAACCTTAAACCTTAAAAAATAAACTGGGCCCCGGCTTATCTCGGTCACCAGACGAAACGCAGAAGTGCGCCGAAGTGTTGACGCTTGACCAGCAAAGAGTCGAGGTAACTCACCATCGCCACTTTCAAAACTGCCGTCGAGTGGATCCGAAGCATCCACGCTTACGGCGTCGGCTCGGATCCGTCCGGAATCGGAGCCCTCGTGCACTTGAATGACTTGTTCCGTTTCCATTGCGCCAACAGGTGGCGCAACGAATCAACGCCGACATGCACCGCGCATTGGACGCCGCTGTGGCGAAATTCGAGGCGGGCGACATCACCGGTGTTGTGGTATCTATCGTAGAAGCCACGTAGTTTATGTACTCCTGGTCTTGTAGTGTTAAGTGACAGTAAGTACGTCATAAGTCCCACTGCTGGGCATACGCCACCTATATGCAGAGTACTCAATGGCTTGGTGTCATGGCTAGAGCGTGTGGCGACTAGACTCTTTACCAACTAAAGAAAGCGGTCGATAATTTCGCGCCGCGAAAACCTCGACATCTGTCTACGTTCTTTCTATTGCATTTTTAGCAATTCTTGGCGCCATCTAGTGTGGATCGTTTACAGCGTGCAACACCTTACAAAGAACATTCAACGATGAACATTTGTAAAGAGTGATGTAGCCTTTTGTCTTAATAATAATGACTCGATAGTGCAGTTGCTAAATTGGCTTCGGCGTCGGGGGTCGTAGTTTCGATTCCTGAGGGACAAGTATTTGTGTGACCCACAGATAATATAATTGATCATGATCTGGGTCATTACTCCCAAGGTAGGGCTTTGCCGGTCGTAAAAAATCTGACCAAAACCACTTGAACTATTCACATGTTGTACCGACTCCACCTAGCTGGGATAAGAGCTGGAGGATTACTAATAAACTGATTTTAAATAATATACGCATGTAAGAAGTTATACTTCTTAAGCTTAACAAACGAAAAATAACCTAAAAATTTTATCCCCCGTGCCAGTACTCTTCGTTCGTGAAAATGACATTCAAAAATTTATAAAAAAAAGCAATGGCGACATCTCTCGTTCGAATTATCGTTGTAAAACGATATTCGAAATTGTTTGTATGCTGGAAAGGATATAACAATGGATGCGCCAAGCATTGCTTTAAATGCTAAATAACAATGTAGAAAGAAGGCGTTAAGATTTTCGTCGCTGTGGCTATCAGCCGTTTAGCTCAGTGGCTAGAGCGAAAGCCGAAGACGTGGGTTCGATTCCCACAGTGGCGACAACTATGTGTGCGACCCACGGATAATTTGTTTCGCATCTGGGTGTTTGTCCGCGTGAAATTTATGTTTTTAAAAACGTCCTTGCAACACAGGATGATGTTATCCTAAAGCGAGGGCAATGTTATAAAAAAAAACACAAAAAAAAAAGATAACACTGGGTGTCGGTGGGGCGCGCTTCCAAACGCGCCAAAAGGCGTGTAACCTCAAAACCGATCGTGTCACGTGACTGGCCCCTCTTCGCAGGAGCTGGAGGGGCTGATCTCCGTGAACCGGCTCTGCCACAAGCTGCTCAGCCGGTACCTGACCCTGGACGAGTTCGAGGCGATACTGCGCGAGTCTGACCACGGGGTGCTGGCCCCCTACGGCAGGGTCACGCTGCACGTCTTCTGGGAGCTCAACTACGATTTCCTGCCGAACTACTGCTACAACGCTGCCACGGACAGGTAAGGTTTGAATTGTCCAAAAGGCTCGAGACGAAGTTTAAGTAAAGTATCGGTCTATACGTGTCCCACTGCTGGGCAAAGGCCGAGATAAATGAAAGGAAAGTATGAGCCTGGGAGCCGTGATAGCTCACAGTCCGGACGCTCGCCTTTAATTCAATATACCCGAGCGACCTGAGGTCGATCCCCGGTGCCGGCACCAATAAAAAGAAAACGATTTCATTCTCCAAGAGTGCGCTGTCACGGTCCCAAAATGTTTATCATTATTTAGTACAGCTGATTCGGCAAACGTTGTTTTGCTATATAAATTATTTCTATGGAATTTGTCAATCTGAACACATAGTAAGAGTATTTACGGAACGCACCCATAAAATGACAGATAGGAGCAGTTTGTATGGGACTATAAAATTGTTGCTATTTCGATTTTCCATGCAATCTTTCCATAACTTCTCATCGTTTAAACTTTCCCTGGACTGCCACAAATATTTCAAAACCAAAAATTAGCCAAATCGGTCCAGCCGTTCTCGAGTTTTAGCGAGACTAACGAACAGCAATCCATTTTTATATATATAGATTTTTTTTCTTTGTGTGAAAAGTTGCCAAGCGAGCAGGCGGTTCACCTGATGTTAAGTGAATACCGCCGCCGATGGACATCCGCTACACCCGAGGGTTGCAGACGCGTTGGCAACCCTTTGGAAGTTGGGCTCCAGCCACCTCGCTCACCGGACGAAACGCGAAAGTACTATTAGAATTGACGCGAACATTCTTCTTTCTGGTGCAGGTTCGTGAAATGCCGCGGCATCCAGTTCGCCGCCGGCGTCCAGAGGGAGAGGCCGCAGCAGTACGGGCACGCGCTGCTCTGGGGCTCCAAGCAGCTGAGCCTGGCCTACTCGGCCCAGTACGCGCAGTACGCCGGTGAGTGGCGACAGGCCTGTCGGCCCCCCCCCCCCCCCACCCCCCCTGTTTCGACGCCTTGCATGTGAAAAGTGGCTCAGCCACAGGCACGCTTCACGCCCTCCTCGTGAGGCCGCGGTACTTTATTTTTTTTATGGGAAAAGCGCCAAAGCGCCAAAGCGCCCGGAAGGCTCACCTGATGGAGAGTGATCACCGCATTAACATCGGCAACATCTGGGAGTATGCTATTCTCTTTGAGGTACCCAGGTCGTAACGGTTCGGAGAGATCGTCGGCGGCAGCTGGTTCCACAGAGTGGTTGCGCGAGGCGGGAAATGCCTTGACAACTGCGCTGTTGCGGAACGCTCGACATCGAGGTGGTGTGGATGGAATTTCTGCTTTTGGCGCGATGTCCGAAGGCGAAATTCAGAGCTTCCCCCCGTGTGGTCAGCCCCGTGATAATTGCAGTGGAAGATGCACAGTGACCAAACATCTCTATGCAGAGCCAAATGATCAAGCCGTTCGGAAAGACTGTTCGACCGCTAATGCCTGGTTCGACGAACGGCCGTTAGTTGCACAGCCTGAATGGCGTGTACGCCCGGTTTCTATATTAACAAAACGGAGCGTTTTCCTCACGAACCGTTGCATTACCTACGGAAATTGAGTTACTAGTGTTCCTTTAATCTACAAGTCGTTATGAGAGTTACGAAGCTATGTAACTGACGGTCCTTCGTTCAGTATAGTAGGAAGCGGGCATGAGTCATGTTCTAACATGAAAAGAAACCGGCAGGCTTCGTGGGGGCGCAGCACCTGCACGCGCTGGTGCGGCTGCTCGGCTACCAGGGCGTGGCGGTGGTGGTGGGCGAGCTGCTGGGCGTGGCGCGCGGCCTGCTGCACGGCACGCTGGCGCAGTTCACGCGCGCCCTCGCCGCCGCCATGCCAAGGCACTGCAAGCTGCCCAGATACGACTACGGCTCCAACGGTACGCAACGCCCCCACCCCCAACACACATAGTCTCATACTGATACACTATCGTGCAATAGTCATTTTGCTCTCAGTCGGTCAAATGCCATGCCACGACACTGCAAGCTGCCCAGATACGACTACGGCTCCAACGGTACGCAACGCCCCTGCCCCAACATACATAGTCTCATACTGATACACTAACGTGCAATAGTCATTTTTGCTTCAGTCAGTCAAATGCCATGCCACGACACTGCAAGCTGCCCAGATACGACTACGGCTCCAACGGTACGCAACGCCCCCACCCCCCAACACACATAGTCTCATACTTGTACACTATCGTGCAATAGTCATTTTGCTGTCAGTCGGTCAAATGCCATGCCACGCCACTGTAAGCTGCCCAAATACGACTACGGCTCCAACTGTACGCAACGCCCCCCCCCCCCCCCAACACACATAGTCTCATACTGATACACTATCGTGCAATAGTCATTTTGCTCTCAGTCGGTCAAATGCCATGCCACGACACTGCAAGCTGCCCAGATACGACTACGGCTCCAACGGTACGCAACGCCCCCACCCCCAACACACATAGTCTCATACTTGTACACTATCGTGCAATAGTCATTTTGCTGTCAGTCGGTCAAATGCCATGCCACGACACTGCAAGCTGCCCAGATACGACTACGGCTCCAACGGTACGCAACACCCCATGCCCCAACACACATAGTCTTATACTTGTACACTATCGTGCAATAGTCATTTTGCTGTCAGTCGGTCAAATGCCATGCCACGACACTGCAAGCTGCCCAGATACGACTACGGCTCCAACGGTACGCAACGCCCCCACCCCCAACACACATAGTCTTATACTTGTACACTATCGTGCAATAGTCATTTTGCTGTCAGTCGGTCAAATGCCATGCCACGACACTGCAAGCTGCCCAGATACGACTACGGCTCCAACGGTACGCAACGCCCCCACCCCCAACACACATAGTCTTATACTTGTACACTATCGTGCAATAGTCATTTTGCTGTCAGTCGGTCAAATGCCATGCCACGACACTGCAAGCTGCCCAGATACGACTACGGCTCCAACGGTACGCAACGCCCCCACCCCCAACACACATAGTCTTATACTTATACACTATCGCATGCAATAGTCATTTTGCTGTCAGTCGGTCAAATGCCATGCCACGACACTGCAAGCTGCCCAGATACGACTACGGCTCCAACGGTACGCAACGCCCCCACCCCCAACACACATAGTCTTATACTTGTACACTATCGTGCAATAGTCATTTTGCTGTCAGTCGGTCAAATGCCATGCCACGACACTGCAAGCTGCCCAGATACGACTACGGCTCCAACGGTACGCAACGCCCCCACCCCCAACACACATAGTCTTATACTTGTACACTATCGTGCAATAGTCATTTTGCTGTCAGTCGGTCAAATGCCATGCCACGACACTGCAAGCTGCCCAGATACGACTACGGCTCCAACGGTACGCAACGCCCCCACCCCCAACACACATAGTCTTATACTTGTACACTATCGTGCAATAGTCATTTTGCTGTCAGTCGGTCAAATGCCATGCCACGACACTGCAAGCTGCCCAGATACGACTACGGCTCCAACGGTACGCAACGCCCCCACCCCCAACACACATAGGCTTATACCTTTACACTAACGTGCCATAGCCATTTTTGCTGTCAGTCGGTCAAATGCCATGCCACGACACTGCAAGCTGCCCAGATACGACTACGGCTCCAACGGTACGCAACACCCCATGCCCCAACACACATATAGTCTCATACCAATACACTAACGTGTAATAGTCATTTTGCTGTCAGTCAATCAAATGCCATGCCACGGCACTGCAAGCTGCCCAGATCCACGTCTACGGCTCCAACGGTACGCAACGCCCCCACCCCCAACACACATAGTCTTATACTTGTACACTATCGTGCAATAGTCATTTTGCTGTCAGTCGGTCAAATGCCATGCCACGACACTGCAAGCTGCCCAGATACGACTACGGCTCCAACGGTACGCAACGCCCCCACCCCCAACACACATAGTCTTATACTTGTACACTATCGTGCAATAGTCATTTTGCTGTCAGTCGGTCAAATGCCATGCCACGACACTGCAAGCTGCCCAGATACGACTACGGCTCCAACGGTACGCAACGCCCCCACCCCCAACACACATAGTCTTATACTTGTACACTATCGTGCAATAGTCATTTTGCTGTCAGTCGGTCAAATGCCATGCCACGACACTGCAAGCTGCCCAGATACGACTACGGATCCAACGGTACGCAACGCCCCCTCCCCCCACACACATAGTCTTATACTTGTACACTATCGTGCAATAGTCATTTTGCTGTCAGTCGGTCAAATGCCATGCCACGACACTGCAAGCTGCCCAGATACGACTACGGCTCCAACGGTACGCAACGCCCCCACCCCCAACACACATAGTCTTATACTGTACACTATCGTGCAATAGTCATTTTGCTGTCAGTCGCTCAAATGCCATGCCACGACACTGCAAGCTGCCCAGATACGACTACGGCTCCAACGGTACGCAACGCCCCCACCCCCAACACACATAGTCTTATACTTGTACACTATCGTGCAATAATCATTTTAACGTGTAATAGTCATTTTGCTGTCAGTCGGTCAAATGCCATGCCACGACACTGCAAGCTGCCCAGATACGACTACGGCTCCAACGGTACGCAACGCCCCCACCCCCAACACACATAGTCTTATACTTGTACACTATCGTGCAATAGTCATTTTGCTGTCAGTCGGTCAAATGCCATGCCACGACACTGCTCCAAGCTGCCCAGATACGACTACGGCTCCAACGGTACGCAACGCCCCCACGCCCCCAACACACATAGTCTTATACTACTGTACACTATCGTGCAATAGTCATTTTGCTGTCAGTCGGTCAAATGCCATGCCACGACACTGCAAGCTGCCCAGATACGACTACGGTTCCAACGGTACGCAACGCCCCCTCCCCCAACACACATAGTCTCATACTGATACACTAACGTGCAATAGTCATTTTATATCAGTCGGTTCAATGTCATGCCCTGCCACTGCAAGCTGCCCAGATACGACTACGGCTCCAACGGTACGCAAACGCCCCTGCCCCAACACACATATAGTCTCATACCATTTTTCTGTCAGTCAATCAAATTCCATGCCAAGACACTGCAAGCTGACCAGATACGACTAAAGATCCAACGGTACACAACGCCGCCTCACACATATTCTTACGCGCGAATTAGTCATTTCTACATCAGTTACGTACTGTTACACTAACTCCTTAGTATTAGATTATACAGAATAGGTACAATAATAACAGAATTCTGGTGCTGCGCCTCTGTCGAATATAAATACAAATATTTTAGGACACATTTTTACACAACTTTTTCCAGTCAAACTAACTAACGCTTGTACTATGGGTACTAAATAACTGATAAATATACTTTTCTTTTATAAATAAGTACATATTATACATACATAAACACCCTGACACTATGAAAAACACTATGTTCATCAAACGATATGTTTCCAGTAGTGGGAATCGAATCCACGCCCATTTATCTTAATTATTGCTTACTTATCACGGAGGGCTGCCGGGTCAACGAGTGATACACGACTCTTGGTTCCAGGTGTACTCGGCTACTACCACGCCCAGCTGACGGACATCGTCCAGTACCCAGACGCCAGGACGGAGCTGTTCCACGCGTTCCGCGAGCTCGGCAACATCATACTGTTCTGCATGCTCATCGAGCAGGTAACTTGTCACCCCCCCCCCCCCCTCCCCCTCCTCTCCGCTTTACCACTGACTGTAAGATTGTTAGTAGAGAGCAGGTATGTCTCCCACTGCTGGAGAAACACCCCCTCCACCTTACCACTGATTGTAAGATGCTTAGTAGAGAGCAGGTACGTCTCCCACTGCTGGAGAAACACCCCCTCCACCTTACCACTGATTGTAGGATGCTTAGTAGAGAGCAGGTATAAGTAACCCCCCCCCCCCCCCCCCCCTCAACCTTACCATTGATTGTAAGATTGTTAGTAAACTAGCACAGTTGAAGATAGTGTTAGTTTTGTATTTTCTTCTCTATTTTATTGATATTACGTGAAGCACCGACGGTTGACGAGTTATTCAGTTTGTGATAGTATTTTAGACGGCCCCAACCACTATATTAGATTCGACAAACCACAAATCCTCGTAAAATACGCGAGACTATTGAAATAAAGAAACATCCTAATTTAATTACAAAAAATGTTTTTAAATCCAAGCATACCAACACTGCTAGACCTCAAGATACCATAAGTCCCTTTTGCGTAGATCGGAATAAAAATAAATAGTAAAATAATTATATAAAACTTCGGGAATTTAAAAATCTAATTAAACGGGATAAAACCCGTAAAAAAGTTTCATTTTACAATGTACAGCATTCGCGTAAAAACAAGGAATCGGTAATTAACTTATTATTCAATGTATGGAAATTCCTAGTAGGGTTGTCACTAAAGTAAACTACGTTTCCCCCGCAGGCCCTCAGTCAGGAGGAAGTAACGGACCTGCTTCACGCCGCGCCCTTCCAGAACATTCTGCCGCGCCCCTACACGACAGGTGAGGGGCCCTCCATCAAACCGTCCCTTTCGCGCAGTCCGAAGTTATATACATCCATCTCTTTCAGACGGCGAGAAGCCCGAAGTTAAGCAGAAGCGACTCGAGGCGAAGTACTCGGCGCTGCAGATCGTGCAGAACGTCGACAAGTACGGAACCGCCAAGGTCAGTTGAAGTATACTTTTTTTTGTACGACTTTGTACGACTTTGTACGACTAAATGAAACGCGGAACCGATTGATGGCGGGACACGCTCGTTTTTCAACACAATATCTAAGTATACTACTAATGTACATACAAGCATTAGTATAATGTTGTTATACTTATTAAATATACACATTTAATAAGTATAACAATACACTATAATTATAACTAACACGGTCGGCACAATAAACGATCGATCGAAATATATGTTTCATTATCCGATATGATAGTTCGGCGACTGATCCCCCCCCCCCCCCCCCCTCTCCCCGTACAGCAAAGCCAGCTCGCGCGCGAGGGCGACCTGCTGACCCGCGAGCGGCTCTGCTGCGGCCTCTCGCTGTTCTCGGTGGTGCTGAGGCGGCTGCGCGCGTGCCTGGCGGCGCCGCAGTGGCCGAGCCCGCCGGCGGCGCCGCAGCACGCGCCCCTGCACACGGACGACACGAGCGAGTTCCACAGGTGGGCGTGCGTGCGTGCGTGTGCGTGTGCGTGTGCGTGTGCGTGGGCTGCGTTAGAGAAAGACGCGAGAGAGTTACACAGGGGCGTGCGTGTGTGTGTGGCATTTGATTAGCGATGCGGACGACGCGAGAGAGTTCAACTGGTGCGTGCTGTGTTTGCGTTGGCGGCGTTCGAGGAAGACGCGAATGAGTTACACAGGAGCCTACGTGTGTGTGTGTGTGCGTGCATGTGTTTGCGTTGGCGGCATTCGAGGACGTCGCGAGAGATTTCCACAGGTGAGTGTGTGTGTTGTGTGTAAGGGCCTCATTTGATTGGAGCCGTGGACGACGCGAGAAAGTTCCACGGGTGTGTGCGTGTGTTTCAAGTGTCACACAACCGACGAGCCCCGACGCCGAAGCAAAAACCTTGGCATCACAGTCGAATGTTTGCCGCTATATACCAGAATCCGTTGTTGCAGACTTTGGTCCGCTCTCCAATTCCTGTACTGCATACCAGTCGGCGACACGCAGTTCACCGTCGAGTGAGTTCAACTGTACTCTGCTATTCTGCTGTTCCACTATTCACTACATATTCAGTGTAACCGTGCTACGGCCTCGTGGCAGCTTTCTAGAAGCGTCATATTCTAGAAATATCATGAAAACCACAGAATACCGGCGCGAAGTGTAAGCGTAACAGCTATGCGTTTGGCCCGGTGAGTGTAGTTCGCAACGCATCTACAGCCCTACGGGTGTTGCAAATGTCCGCGGGCGGCGGTCATCACTTAATGACGCACTTCTCACTTCCCACTTTCTCACATTAAACAAACTTTTTTTTCTTCTTTTTTTTTTATGTGAAAAGTTGCCAAGCGAGCAGACGGTTCACCTGATGTTAAGTGAATACCGCCGCCCATGGACATCTGCTACACCCGAGGGTTGCAGATGCGTTGACAACCTTTTGAAATCTCGGCTCCGGCCACCTAACTTACCAGACGAAACGCGAAAGTATTATACTTCTACTTTACGCCGGTCTTCTGTGAGGTCGTGGTACTTACCCGGATGAGGCTGCCCATTCGTGCAACGGCCGAGGCCGCTGCGTGGCCCTAGCTCCATAAAGCTTTGACCTTGAACCCAAAACTTTGACCTCGACCTTGACCTTGACCCGCAGGGAGCTGTTCGGCGAGGGCCTCCACTGGGCGGGCTGCACCATCATCGCGCTCCTGGGCCAGCAGCGCCGCTTCGAGGCGCTGGACTTCTGCTACCACATCCTGCGAGTGCAGCGCGTCGACGGCAAAGACGAGCTGGTCAAGGGGATCGTGAGTGCCAATTGGGATATCGCGAACGGCTGTGGGTCGGCGTTGCCCAGAGGGTGCGGGTTCGATCCCCACCGCATATTGTGCGATGAACATTCCGTTTAACCGGCCCGGCTTCGCATCGGTGCAATGTATTTTACATAAACGTTCCTCTCGAATCACTCTATCTATTAAAAAAAAAACCGCATCAAGATCCGTTGCGTAGTTTTAAAGATCTAAGCATACATAGGGACAGACAGACAGCGGGACGACTTTGTAGTGTATTTATTTAGAAAAGAAAAGTATGTTTAAGTATGTTCATCAGTTATCTAGTATCCATAGTACAAGCGTTGCTTTATTTGGGATTAGAAAACGTTGTGTAAAAATGTGTCCTGAAATATTTATTATTATTATTATTAAAGCAGACCTTTGAAACGTCTTCTCGTTCTCAAAGTGGACGGTACCGCCTCCTTTGAGCGCTGAGTGTATCTGTGCGAGCGATTAAAACGTTAAATAATATTGGGGTTGCTATATAAAAATTGATCAGCCGTGGAAATTAGGTATAAAGAAAGGTACGTTGAAAATTATATGAAGAATTTCTGGTGGGCCCAAAAAAGTTTGAGAAACACTGTTTTAGAGAAAAACTTAAAATTTACTACCCATTTATTCGCTTAATAAATGATCAAAGTACATAGATATATGTTAGTACAACGATCATTGAGGAAACTGTTATACAAACAGTCAATTGGGATAACAGAACAAACGCAAAGCGTTTTTACGCGTTTCACTGTGGTAGGGCCACGCAACAGATTCGGCTGTTGCACGCACGGGCAGGTCCGTCCGGGTGAGTGGGGTAGCTCGTGACCACTTTTTAAAAGGTGGCGAAGCTTCTTCAGCCCTATGGGTGTTGCAAATGCCAATGGGCGGCGGTTATCACTCAACATCAGGTGAACCGCCAGCTCACTTGCCACATTCTGACAATGCTTCTTCAAAATGCCTCAATCAATAATTGTGATTAGCTCCTAAAGCTGAACTTTGTATATTTCCTATCTAAAGAACTGGTTATCTAACAAATTAACTCTTTTTCCCAGCCCCTGAAGCGAATGGTGGACCGAATAAGGCGCTTCCAGGTGTTAAACTCGCAGATCTTCGGTGTGCTGGCACGCCATCTGGTGGCCGACGAGGAGCGCGCCGGAGTCGAGCACATCCGCTGCTTCCCGCCCCCCGCGGCGCCCCACCACCACCTCGACTAGCCCACCCCCACCCCCACCACCAGTCCCGGCCCCACTCCCACTACCCACCACGAGCCGCATCCAACTAACGGCTGAGGAGAACACATCTTCCATACACAACTAGCCTAAGCTCTTAAGCATTCCAACTCATATCTATTAGGGCCGGCGAAACTCACCTGTGACGTGGTATACTATGGTATATTCTAGTATAGCGTGGTATACTATTGTATACTGTGGTAGGTCGAAGCATCAACTTCTGTTACTATTAAATGTGCAGACTCCTGGAAAGTACCACGGTTTATATGACACCTGACATTTAACATGACACGCCTTATCGCTTGCCGCCTTCCAGCACAACCCAGAAAAATCTTCAATATCACTATCATGTACTCTTCAATCCATCATCCAAAATCAAATCCCCACCGGCTCTTCATCTCTTCCATCATCGCCCAATTGTACATCTCCTGCCCTCAACATCTATCCAGGTTATGACACCCATCAATTTCAAATCAAACTGCCCTCGTACGTAAGAGATACATTAGAATACGTAATTATTAATTTTACACTTGCCGCGTTAACATTTGACAGCTGTCTTTTCTCAAAATTTGACACATGATTTTTTCACGAAATAACGGTTATGGAAAACTGTTGATTTGTTTGTATCGAGAAATCCGAACTATATTAATAATAATTGACAGGTGACAGCTGTCAAGTTGTTGTATATTATAATTTTTGCATTTGGTGTGTAATAACTAGGGGAACGTCTTCATTGACATTTTGTATTTTTCATTTTTGTATTTACACGGAATAAATGAAAACGCACCATTGAGTTTTGTTTAGTCATAAAATCATTAGTTAGATAAATCGATTATCGACTGCGTGATACTTGACTTACGTCCGAACTCGGAGACGTCGATTAGCGCTTAATCGTAATTTTATCATCCTTTAGCGAATTTCAGTCTTGCAGTTGACTTTCCTTAATTCATTTAAAAACCATTAAGCAATATTGTTTTCTTGAGTTTAGTTGAGTTCAAATCAAAATAAAAAACGCGATACAATCCGTAAACTAGTTTCATTAAATAAGCGTTAAGCAAGTTCTCTTTAAAAAAATAGTGATACGTCACTATGACAATGTTGCCCATAAAATATAGCTTATCCTTACTTCCTAATTTAATACTTGCTAATCTTATAAAGGCGAAAGTTTGTATGTATGGATGGATGTTTGTTGATGGATTTTAGTGAAACTTTACAATAATATAGCTTATACATCAGAATAACACATACGCTATAATTTATACACATATTTTTATGTATATCTGTCTTTATGTCTGAACGTTATGCCTTCAGTCTATTCTACGCAGACTTAGTCGCGGACAGCAGCTAGTGAATAATATATTAAACGTTGGCTCGCTTATCGCCTTGCCTTAAATAAGACAGACATTAAAATTTCAAGGAAATAAATAATATTCCTATTGGCTCAGTGGATAGTGCACCCGGTCTCTTGAGCTAGAGTGTGTGGGTTCGCACCTCGCCACTGGAAAAATATCGTAATATAAACGTGTGATTTCTGTGTCTGGGTGTTTATACAGCGTGTCGTTACCATCGTGACAATAAATGAACATACGTCTACCGCTACTTGCCAATAATCATAAAAAAATATTAACGTTAAACAAAATCCATAATTAAAAAAAATATTTTTCAAACAAACTAATTAAGTAAAAAAGAAACAAAATTTGTAACATCCTATACAACTCGCGCCACAACGTCGCATTACAAGCCTCTTCTTCTAATAGTATGTTTTGTCTCTTTTAAATTCATTCAACCCATTCATAATTATGCTCTGTGACCTTTACAAATGAACTTTACGTTACAGTTTTACACGTAAGGGTGTTCTAAAATTTTATTGTTTTTGGAAAATTTAATAACTCGGTAAATATTGATGTTTGCAGACTGTAAATGTTTAATACAATTTTAAAAAGTTATCCTCTATATGTGTGTTCATTTATTGTCGCTGTGGTGACGACACGCTGTATACATATATTATATATCTAGAATATTTGATTATCTAAAGAAGTAAGGTATATTTCAGTACGCTATACATAGTACGTATAGCACTAGCTTGGTTAGTTCGGATCCTCATTTAAAAATGTAAAAAAAAATATAATTTAATTTTTTCAATTTTAGTTTACATATAATAACGAATGAAAAAAATATCACACAAACGAATTTAATCCCAGTCGAGCGCACGGTAAAGTCTCTGAGAGCGGTCGTTTGAGTTTTATATTTCCTAAATGGAACCATTTGATGTCTTAATTTAACATGAGAACGGAAGTCGAAGAATCGATTTTTGTAGGAGATTTAATTTAAGGTTACAATTAAGTAGATAATCCTCAGTACTTTAGCATTTAAACTTCCATTTTGGCTAAGCGTGTCATCGTGTACGCACGTTCTAACGTTATTTTTAATCTGAGATATCGTCAACATTTTAATTATTTATTTTTATCTCAACAAATTCGATAGATTATTCTCGTGAATCCAATAAATCGTAGCATTTGTGGTTTTAGCTTCTGCTGCCGAAATGATATTTTAAAGTCTGGTTGTCAAAAAATAATTAAAGATGTCCGGATTTATTAATTAAAATTATTTTTGTACATTTTATCGCGTTCTATTCTAAATCTAATTTTAAATCATGACGACTGCCATACTGCATATATGAACTGAGGCTTTTGACTTCCTAATGCCGTTTGTGCACATTTAAAGGTATCGAACGCGGGAAAATCATTTAAAATCTTTTTTTTAATTTTGTACAATACACGAGTTAAAAAATTATTATTTACAGATATTTTTCTAGTTTATATGCACACTTTTTTTAGAACGATACTATTTAAGTAACGTCAATGCTAATATACGTATATATAGTTATAATAAATAAGTGTTATACTACAGTATAATGTAAGCATTTGTATTATTTCTATTAATAAACGTTTAGTTAAGTAATTGTTTTATTTTGTATATAATCCCGACGCTTCCTATTTGATTATTTGTAAGAGAACCATTGTACAAGAATTATCGGACTTTGGATTATTGCAAAACCACTTAAACATATTCACTTCTTTCTTAACATGATTCACATGTGACGACCCGACAAGACGAGAATGATGATGAATACATAAATGATACCGAAGTACTGCATTTTGTGGATAAGGAGGCAAAAGCGTCATCTGATTTTTAAGGATAGGGCTGCAAACATTTTTCGGTTAATCATAGTAACTTCACGTATAACGTGAAGAATACACAGATTTATAGACTTGACATTTATTTCGTTGAAACCTACCTTTAAATATGAAGAATATTTTTTAAAGATAAATAAATATTTTTAGGATACATTTTTACACAACATTCTCTAGCCCCAAACTAAGCAAAGCTTGTACTATGAGTACTTAAAAACTGATAAACATACTTTTCTTTTGTAAATAAATACATATTATATAAACACCCAGACACTAGAAAAACACTATGTTCATCACACAATACTTTTCCAGTAGCGGGGATCGAACCCACACCCTCTGGCGCAGGAAGTAGGTACACTACCCACTACGCCATTCGGGTCGTTAAATTTGTTATAAGTGTGTACAGTACTTTATATTATATTACGCTATAGTTACCCGGTATGGTTGTCACCGCCCGCTACACCAGAGGAGTTACGAATGCTTTGCCGACTTTTGACGTAGGAACGGGCTCTGGCGCCAGCGATACCTGGATCCACAGCGGCTGTGCTTGGTAAGGATGGCGAAAGTGAAGAAATATATCGATATAAATAAAAATATAAATATCGGCCTCGATATATCGAAGAGAAAATATTAATATATCGATATCTTCTGTGTAGGACACGTCCAAAAAAAAATAAAAAGACCAATACATTGATCAAAAAGACGAAAATTAAATAAAAAAAATGGGAGTCAGTAAAATAAGAAATCGCATTGATCCTAAAAATAATATACAGATATAGAATGTTAATGATATTTATAACACTACTAACGAACCGCCCCGGCTTCGCACGGGTGCAATGTATTATACATTTAAACCTTCCACTTGAATCACTCTATCTAGTAAAAAAACCGCATCAATATCCGTTGCGTAGTTAAGATCTAAGCATACGAGTATATAGAGACAGACAGCGGGACGACTTTGTTTTATATTATGTAATGTTTGCTGGTTTAAAAATGACGTACCTACCTATTATACGTCATACTGAAATTATTGCATTCACACGCCATAATGTCAGTTTTATAATAATTGGCGTTGAACCCATTATTGTATTATGTTGTTTGGTAAATATTTACAGTTGTACAGTCAATACATGTGAGTCATTGAAGATGTTAGGGTGTACACGCACCAGAGCATGTTGTTTTAATTTTTGAGGATAATTTTCAAATCGATAGCTATGCGATAGGATAAAACTATAACTACAATTTAGACAAACTCATATGATACTACCCTAAATTCGTGAAAGTTGAATAAAAAACATATTTATTAAAATAAAACAAAACAGACTTCAACATATCTTACGAACTTTACATTTTGCTATCTGATTTTGAGGACTTAGCAGATGTACGGCTGGATTGCAAGGTTATTGGATCTTGAAATTTTTTTATTTTTTTATTTTAACAAAGTAACTACAGACTCGTGGTCCGTACTCTTTTTTTTGGTTAACATGTTTTTTTTTTTTAATTTTCTTTTTGGGCTGTCACCGCCGCGTACATCAACCGGGCTGGTAGCGGTGCAGCAGTGAGTTCATATTTATATATATATATATATATATATATTTTTATTATAGATCGATTTTAATAGAGATCTCGTAGTCGCAGGTTATTTGGTAATAGGTGTTATTTTTTTTGCTAGTCTCTCTGCGACCGCTGCGTCTCTGTTCCTAATTGCCATTTTAAGGTTGTAGTCTCTAATCTTGCAGGTTGATGCCGCCATGGCTTTTTGGATAAGGCGGCCTGCTGCGTCGTCAC